CGCGGCCCGGCACCGGGAGCGAGGGCTGGCTGAGCCGAACCGCGGCCCGGCACCGGGAGCGAGGGCTGGCTGAGCCGAACCGCGGCCCGGCACCGCGAGCGAGGGCTGGCTGAGCCGAACCGCGGCCCGGCACCGGGAGCGAGGGCTGGCTGAGCCGAACTGCGGCCCGGCACCGGGAGCGAGGGCTGGCTGAGCTGTCCCGTTCCCAACTGCGGCCCGGCACCGGGAGGGGGCTGGCTGCGCTGTCCCGTTCCGAACTGCGGCCCGGCACCGGGAGGGGGCTGGCTGCGCTGTCCCGTTCCCAACTGCGGCCCGGCACCGGGAGGGGGCTGGCTGAGCTGTCCCGTTCCCAACTGCGGCCCGGCACCGGGAGGGGGCTGGCTGAGCTGTCCCGTTCCGAACTGCGGCCCGGCACCGGGAGGGGGCTGGCTGCGCTGTCCCGTTCCAGAAGCGGTGGCCGCGGTCCGGCGCTCATGTTGAATCCCAGCACACACGCTCCCTCTGGGAGGCTGGCCAGTGTGGCTGCAGTGTCCAGCCGCGGGCCCCGCGGCGACCCCTCCACAGCGTGCGAGTACGGCGGCGAGGAGGAAAGGAGATTGTTCTTCGTCAGAGCTCCCTGAGATTGCAGTTGTAACTTGAGCAATGTTGTATAGTTGATATAAAACACACATCATACTCTCTCAAATTATTTTCTTTCTCTTTCCGCTGTTGTCATAGAATAACAGAATAGTTTGGGTTGGAAGGGACATTAAAGATCGTCTAGCTCCAGCCACGCTGCCATGGCCAGGGACACCTTCCACTGAATCAGGTTGCTCAAAGCCCCATCCAACCTGGCCTCGAACACTGCCAGGGACGGACATCCAGAACTTGTCTTTGGAACCCGTCCCAGTGCCTCACCACCCACACAGGAAAGAATTTCTCTCTAATATCTAAACCTACTCTCTGCCTGTTGGAAGCCATTCCCCCTTGTCATCCCCTTGCAAAAAGTCTCTCTCCAGCTAACTTTCAGACCCCCTTTAGGTACTGGAAAGTGCTATGAGATCTCAATGTTAATATCACAGTACCCACAGGCACTACTAAGCTGCCCTAATACTCATACACCAGATTTTTAATGTTAGTGAAAAATACAGTACTTTCAAGATGGTAGTTTCTAGCACATAATGCATTCAACACATCAAGGTACAAAGGAAAATCTTAATTACAATCTCATCTATTTTAGCAAATATTCGGCTTTCATATGTGTACAGATTTATAAAGCCCAAAACAATTCTGTAAAACTCAATGGATTTTGATTGGTCTTATTTATCTGAAACAGTATATTATGTGTGGTATTACTTTTAAAAAATTGTCTCTCACGTAATGTCTGAAATATAATAAAGATGTTTTTTAAGACATTGGTTATATTCCAACAATACCATCAGATATTTTGAGCAAACAGTACATCCCCAAACACTGTTTATTTGAAACAGACAAATGAGATGCTTGCAGGGAAGTGATTTGTTTCTCTGAAGGAGCAAAGGTAATTTATTGGGTTTTGGGACGGGTTAGTTGGGGGTTTTTATTTCTGTCATAAAGTGGCATTATAATTCCCTTGTGACTTTTTGAATTAAAAACTCATTTAGTTACATTAATACCCATACCATACTTACCTCAGAAAACCAGATTTGCAATTTTCAAGACAAATACTGACCTGCTTCAAAGTTGGAAAAGCCTGTTGTGACTTTTTGTATATAAGCATGCATAAAGATGAGAAAATTAAATAAAAACACAGTCAGATGACAAGTTCTTGTAGTAATACCTAGGTCTGGAAAGCTGTATCAGTGTAGCAAAAAATGGACACCTTAACTTTGGTGGTCCTTTTATTTAAATTTAATAAGGACATGGTGTCCTTATTATTTAGTGTCACAGTAAATACAAGGGAGAAGGCTACACATTAAAAATGCATCACCATATATTAATTGTTTTGAGGAGTGCAATTGTTTTAGCCATCTTCCACATCAGTTTCATCTCATTTGGTTTCCCATGTGTTCATTTTGATCCTTTCCTTTTCCTACCCTTTTCCTTTGTTTCTTACTCCTTGCAATGTAACCATACCTGAGTTTCACACCCATCTGTAATCCTATTTCCTCTGCACTTCCTTTTCATCTCTAACCTCCCTATAATTTGCAATGAACACTAGGGACTTCTTTGATTAGTTCCATTGCATCCCCTACTCTGGCTCTTCAATGAAACTGCTTTGTCAAGGTTTCTTTCCTAGGAGAAGCTCAAAATTGAGATTCACATTTCCACTTTGTTAGCCAAGCCACAATCTGCAATGACTCCTTGAGATTTGTTCTCTTTACTAGCATGACTGCCAGCTTCTAGTTCTCCTGTCTCTTGGACTTGTTCATTAGCATATTGAATCAAAGCCTGTTTCTTTGTAGGAAATTGTGTCAATAAATACATATTTATCACATGACTCATCACCATATTTCTACCATAGCAATTAATTGTGATCCAAATTAAAATCTCTTATCATTGTAGGCAGCTAACAGTAAAATAGTTTTACTTTCCTCCAAATTCTCTTGGCAGTCATCTCTCTCTCTTCAATATCAATAGCCATATGTCTCCAGGGCCCACAGCTTGGTTGATGCCTTAGCCTTAGAGAATATTCTGGACTTTTTCATGCTTTACCTAACTCCCTTGCTGACATTTTCTAGTACAACAGCACTAAATCATAACTTTCCCCATCTATCCACACAGCTAATTATTTTTTCTTGTAACATTCTGTTTGCTGACAGTGACTAATACCATTTTGATATGTCCAGACTTCTGCAGAATGTTTGTGTCAATCATCCAGTCCATATTATTTTAACCCTCTCATCTGAATTCCTCCTGCTCATCTACCCACTCTCACCCTTCTACAGGGCCCAAGATAAAATGCCATTATTCATTTTTAGGACAATTACCGCCCACTCTCACTCACTGCCAAAGGACCTGCTTCTACCCAGTCAGCTCAATGCTAGACTTTGCCTATTATTTGTAAAATTTGCACACAAGTTGTATGAAAGGCTTTTTCCTCAAGCTGACCTTCATGGAGCTGTCAACTAAATAAAAAATTAAAAGTTAAATCCCATTTGTGCTGCTCTCAGCATGCCAGTCACCACTTACCTTGGTGTCAAGGCCAGTATGTTTCAGAGAACTCTCAGTCCCACAGACCAATTTACTCCATGAGATGTACATGTCCATCTTATAGCTACTTACCCAATCTTGGGCCTTCTCCCTTGTTGTTTAGCAAATTATCATTGCATAACAATGTGTACATTGTTACTAAAGATGAGGAGCAAAATTACTCTTTGTTACCAGGTTGCTCTATCAAAGGACTGCTGAAAGGTTGAAACTGGCAGGAATTTTTAGAGATCATCTAATCCAACCCTCCTGCCCAGAGCAGATCACAAATGATTACTCAGGGCTTTATAAAGTTTGAGGTTTGAGAATCTTCAAGAATATACATATCACAACCTCCTCAGTCAAGTTGTTTCATCAGTGTTTGGTTGCTTTTGGAATGCCAAAGTTTTTTCTTATGCTTAAATTGAATTTCTTGTATTTCACTTTGGGTCCATTTTGTCATTGAATACCACTAAAGAGACCAGCTCTGCCTTCTTTACTCCCTCTCATAATCTATTTTTAGACACTGAAAAGATCCTCTGAGCCTTCTAGAGACTGAACAGTCTGACATCTGTCAGCGTCTCTTCATATGACAGATGGCCCATTCTCCTAATTGCCTTTGATTGCCCTTCATAGGTCTCACTCCAGGATGTCAGTGTCTCCATTTTGCCAGGGCATCCAGCACTAGACCCAGCATTCCAGGACTCTCTCTGGAGGGTTGAAGAACTATCATCACCCCTCAGCTTTGCTGGCAGTGCTCTTCCTGATGGAGCCCAGGATGGCTTTATTTTCTGGCTCGTGACTGACTTGTGCACAGTTTTTGACACTCAGATACCTTAGTGCAAAACTACTCCCTACCTACATTATTGATGCATTACCTTATTGCACTTTACAAACCTGAATGATACACAACAGCAAGTTCCACAGGCCGACATGATGCTGGCAGGTCCCTCTCCCTTCTCCATAAGCCTATTAAGAAAACAATGGAACAGTCTGTAGCTCTATGCTGAAGTCCAACATTTCACACGCTACAGGAATGGGCATCTAAGGAGGATATCTTTAGCCTGAGGGCTCACTCTTTGTTGGATTTTAATTAACCATCTGCTCTAACACTTCTGTCACATAAAAGGTAGTCACAGCACACCAGCCAGCACTACTGAGCGTACAGCCAGAGTGTTCCTGGCTTTCCCGTGGTTTCTATTGCAGTCACAGCTGCAAGCATAGCTATTACTGCTGTGCCAAAGCTGCAGCAGCTGCTATTGTTGTTCACACAGCTATTTCAGCAGAGTTCCAAGATACTTTCCTGTATACAGAAGTGTCATCTGCCCACATGCTCAACCACATGAAAACCTGGCCAATACAAGACAAGTGCAGATTCTGTCAAGTCCTTCCATCACAGGCTTAATTTGTACAAACAACCCCACAGCAGAGGAACAAAGAAAAACAGTACCAAAAATACCTTTCCCTTTGATCTTTATTTCTTCTCAGAGGAAATGGATGTATTCCAAGCCTTGCATGGCAGATGCAACCCACAATTTTTCTAGGCTACTCCAGTTTGTCACAGACCACAAAGAGATAGTAAATGTGGTGCTGTCCTGGACTCAGTGCAGCAAGTCACCCAGGAGGTAACTGCAGACTAGGCTTTTCAAGTTCCTCATACTTTAAGAGGTACCAGTCCTCAGCATTAATTGTATTGTAGACAATAAAGGAAATATCCAAGGATTTATCTGTGAAATGCTCTTATTTTCCCCATGCAAGAGAAAAAGATTTTTAAAAATTCCTCCCATTCTATTCCACCATTAGGAAAGCAGGACGGAGATCAGTCCCTGCCTACATTCATACAGGTCAACCAAGAATGCCTGGAGTACAGATCAGCCTTTGCATTTTATTATTAGTTTGCTCTTTTATGTAATTACGGACCATACCATTTACAGTTTCTCAGATGAATACGTAGAGATGGGGTTGGGGTCAGCACAGCCACTGCAAGCAGGCAGCATATAAATGTGATTTTAAGGGCAGAAGAGGAGTAAAGCACCTGGATTAAAGCTGCATTATGCCATCTGCTTTCAAAGCCAGAGCTCCTTGTGCACCCTGGCCTAATTTATTTGCCAGAAAATGTAGCCTCTGGGATCACTTAGGATCTTCTCTACTTACCCATTGTTTCTACCTCAAAACAGAAACTGAGAGATGAAGACAGGATAGCCTTTCTAACCTGTTCCTCAAAGAAAACATAAACCCCCCACTAACTGCACAAGTAGTGTATGTAGCTAGAGTATTGTTCCTTGCTTAGCTGCCTTCTGCCACAAGGTTAGACAAGAATGAGGACAAACTAAGTATACACAGGCCAAAACTAAAAGGAAGGAAATGCCATAATCCCAGCAGCACTTATTTGTATTTGCAGTGTGAAAGCATGGAGATGTAACAAGACATGAAGGCATGTATGCTGGATGATGAGATTTCTTGAAGTATTTGCAGTGCCATATTTTGTATATCCTTAAGCACAGCACTAAGTTCATGTTTGTGAGCTTGACTTTTTTTTATCTGTGTATCAATACAATTCCATAATATGAATCAACCCAAAACACCCAGGAGTTGTCACACAAGAAAAAAGTAACTGACCATCACTTTACAATAGCTTTTTTCTCTCAGTGGGGCATAAAATTGTGGGGTTTTTAAATACAAAAGAAGCAGAGTAGATACTAACATGAATGCTCTGCATTTGTTATGCAAGGAGAAATTCATGATTGCATCAGCCTCCACAGAGGGCAGCTGGAAGCTATCCGACAGTGATGACTAAACAGAAACTGATCTGTTGTTTGCCGATTGGCACACCAGTATTGCCAACACTAGGAATGCAGCACAGAAGACAAACAGTTGCAACCCTATCACTTTGACATATACATCATAATAACAACAAACATTTCCTGGAAAGAGCAGAAAAGTAACAGATCAATTGTTTTAGTGTGAGGGCAGTCAATGTTTACTTCTTGATCTTAATTTGCCACATAATCATCTTCAGAGATCACTTCATTTCCCATACAGGCTGAAATCCCCAAGTCTCTGAAAAGAAAAGGTGCACATAGTGCTAAGCGCTGCAATATTCACATACTGAAAGGATTCATTGCACACAATTGATTGGAGAAATTTTAAGTCTCAATCCAACTTCAGGATGGTCAGAGCCTGCAGCTGAGGATTGTTTCGAAATTACTCTATGTCACAAAACAGTGGGAGAGTAGATGGACTTCAGAGGTATTTCAGATATTTTGCTGCCTCTTGCCATTTGAAATATTCACCCTAGGACTCTGATTGCAGGGTATAACTACAGCTAGTACACTTGCTCTTCACCACTTAATACAGTCCCTTTAGTGAAATGCTGACAGATTTTGGAAAGACTAGATCTGTGAAGGAACTACATTTACTCTAAAAAGCTCTGGATTTTAGTTTCTTGAACAACAACAAAAAATCTCACCTACTAGAAAATACACCCTTTTTAAGAGAGGTTTTGGAGTCTCTCTTACTGGAGATACTAAAGAACTGCCTGGACAATTCCATGTAATGTATTCTAGGATGACCTTGTTTGAGGAGGGAGGCTGGACCAGATGACCCACCGTGGTCCCTTCCAAGCTGACCCATTCAGTGATTCTGTGACGAGAAGATAGTAGATAGAGTTGCTGACTTCTTAGAACTGCAAGTGAAAGGGCTACAAACAGCCAAATCAGAAACATGCAAATTGCTGTCATCTTGCTATGTTTTTCCTGTTGCTTGCTGTTCTCACTCCATGTCCACCCAGTTCAAGTTCAGAGCATCAGCCAGCCAGCAGTTTTCACTAGGGAAGCATGAACAAGCAGTCATGATGGAAACAGGACAGCAGTATCTTATAGACACATAGTTAGTGAAAAATTGTCACCCTAGCCTTGGTTCTGTGTTTGACTTTGTTTTGCTGCATACAGGCAACGTACCTGAGGCTACTGTTAAACATAAATGCGGTTCAGCAGCAATTGCTCCTTCCTCTGTTCCGAGATGCCAAAGGCCAGTGTTGAGAATCAAAGCCTTATTTTACTGGGGATATGCTAGCATAATTTACCACAACCTCAGTGAGCCTGGTTTGACACATTAAAGCCATCTTTTGACACATCATGTTCAGGTGGGTTCCGAAGTATTGTATTTGTAACATAAAAACCCTGTGGTCTCCGTCACTGCCCCCAGTTTCCAATAACTTTCAGGGAACTCTATTATAGACTGTCACCAAGTTTCAAATTCTGTAACACTCTAAGAAGTGACAATATTTTCTTTCTGTATTGATTTTCAGTACACTTTTTCTCCCCTACTGGTCAATTTCCATGCATTTTCACTTTTAATATTAGGCATTGATAAACCAGCAGTCATGACAACAGAATCCTTGTTTTTATAGTTGATTGACCATTTGGCATTAATTTATCACAGGACTATTTTCCTGTAAATGCACTGGTATATAAAATATATCAAGATGTATTTAAGAACTCCAGCTGCAGAAATGCACTAGGAAAGTTAACATTCGTGAAGTCTGTACAAGGTATTTTTTTGTATATTTTTACAAAATTTCTTTTATCCACAAATGCCAAATAGATTATTCCTACAATATTTGACAATGTTAAGTTACTCTACTTTAAAAATGCTGCATCCTTTTCAGCATTGGATTTGCCCTGCTAGTGTTTTCTGTTTGAGTAAGACTGATAAGCTTAATGAACTTATCTGATGAGAAAATCCAGTAAGACAATCATTATAATGCCTGCATGATCAAATAGCCAGCACTTAAATATTTAAGTATCACGTGGTTTTTCTCTTCTCTTTTTACTAAAGAGAGCCTGATTAGGCAGTTTTAACTCTCCTTTTCTGAAAAAGAAACTACTTGTTCTCTTCCACTGCAAGTCCCAAATTTCTTAACTTTTTGAAGTGATGGTTAACTTGAAGAAGGGCCTGCAATTTAACAGTTTCAACAGTTCAAAAAAACATGAGTTTGGATCTGTCACAGGATATCAACCATTTGCATCTGATGAGGAAGTAGTCTTTGTTCTCTCGAATACTTTCAGCTGAGATTTCTTGTAAGCCACCTCCAATATCCAAGAATCAGGAGCTAGCAAGGACTCACCATTAAATTTTCAATACTGTCTCTTCACTGTTTTGGAGATGGGATATGGCCAATTGTAGGGACGACTGCTGTAAAATTGCTATTCATTATCCTTCCTTGTCATGCTTTCAAATTAAACATCTTTGGGGTAACCTACAATAAAGAATTAAAACTCCTTGAAGGGACACCGAAAAAAACGTATTTGCCAAGATGTAAGAAAAGCTGCTCTTGAGGAAAAAAAAGGTTATCAAACTGAGACAAACTGGGTATTACTGCTGTTGTGCCTATCACTGTCTAGAGGAGCTAGAGAAGCAAGGAGAGAACGTGCACTTCCTTTCTTGCACAGCACCCAGTTTCCTGTAGGAGTAATTTAGCACCAAGGATTAATGCAGACAAGAAGCAGGAAAAGAGGAGCCCTCTTTTAACAGTGACCCTGCAGCTACATCAAATGTATGTTTATTTGCCTGAGTGCAAAAAGCAGTGGAAATAGACTGAAAAAATAGTTGGTTTTGGTATTGAATAAATAATCTAAGATCAAAACTGGCCAGTAGAATATGAACAAATATGCTGCTCCTCCCAACAATCAAAGTTTAGTTTATGGCTCTACAACATGGCAATCAATTTAAGGCTTTGGCCAAGTTAAGCAAACCTAAGTCTTAAAATAAGACTAGAGAGATCAGCTTGAAATAAGTTTTCATTTTAGAAGTAGAGAGATTTATCATTTTAATCATATTACAGTAAAAATTTATATGAGCCAAACTACTGTCTGTTATCTTGGGCAGAATAATAGTTTGTCATAATGTTGAATTTTTCACGGACTCTCACTTTTCAAGTGAGACAAGATCTCAAGACAATAAACAGTCCATATTCTCTTCAACTCTCAAAATCATCTTCTTATTCTGCTCAATTCTGCTGGTCATTATCTGCAACTCCCTGACACAAGTGTAGTAAAAGTTATCCTAGTAGCATGATGTACTTCCCAACTTCTCAAGAAAAAAATCCTAGAATGTGATGCAGACTAAGATTAGCAAAGTCAGTGAAATATATATAGTTCATAAATTACCATATTCTAATTAAAACTTTTAAGCAGGTTAGTATTGTGCCTGAAAGCCTGCTCAAAGTTAGTTGCATTCTCTTTAATGAAGCAAAAACAGTATTTCACAGAACCCAAGAAGTGATATTAGAAGTCCTGAATAAGATGTTGCTATTACTGAGGCTCTCTAACAACTCAAAAAAATGGTTAACTTGGCATCTTACTCAGCAGCCTACCAACAATAAGTAACCTCAGTTTTTCCGGCATTCCTTTTTTTTTTTTTTCCTACTTCTCCTTTTCATTCCACTAAAAGCAGATGTGGCTGGCTCCAGCTCTTGTTCCCGTACTCTACTATATGTATCACTTAACTACTTTCAGCTTATGGAGATTTCTGACCTGCGTTTAAACTTTTTTTTTTGACAGCATCCAACATTTTTTGAGAATTCCATTTGAGATCTAAGCACTTTCCATAACTTCATACCTTTTTGCAAACTTTATTCATCTGGTTTGGAAACTAAAGTAGAAATTTAATCACTAAGTTCTTTAAGAACTGGAGGAAGTTTTCTATGTAGTAGAATGCAAAAACACCTGTCCACAAAATGTGTGAACACTGAAAAAGAGAAAGTAATATAATCAAGGTAACACTCAATTACTTGACTGCTTCAAGAGACTAATCCATACAGTTAATCTGCCATTGGATACCTCAATTTTGGAACCATGTGCAAGATAACTGCTAACCAGATGAAGCCATCTCTCCCAGTCTTTGCAGCTAGTCATCTCCAAATATAACATCTGAATTTGTGCATCCTTGTCTGAATCAGTCTATCCCATCTTTTATAGCTTCTGAAGCAAAGTCTAAGTGTAGTATACAGTGTCCATAAATAACACCCAGAAGAGAGACATACTGCTGCATTAAAGGTGTTGGACTTTGGCTTGTTGGATTTTATTTCAGCAAGAGATGAAGTTTCATAGGTAGCTCATGTATTCATAGCAGCAGCATCAAGACTGTGAGCAAGCACTTAAAAGTTGTTTTAGAAAGGTACTGTACAAAGTTATACCATTTTTATTTTAGTATGTATGTGAGTAATCTCTGTCAAGATATACCCTGAGGAAGTGTGCTCAGTGTTGATTTACACATGCTATAGTGAGTGTCTAGCTATCTGCCCCACAAGAGAGCTTCTTCCTAAAGACAGACAGCCTTGTTCTCTTTCACTTCTCAGAAGAATGAATAATAGCTTACTTGTTTACAGCCACAGAAATCAGCAACAAGAAAACAGTTCTCCTTCAGATGTACAAACCAGGCAATCTATATAAAATGCAAGATTCAAGACTCTTGAAAAGCAAGTCACATAGCAGTAACACCAGGTTATTTAAGTAAGATCCTGTTCAATAAAACCAAGCTATTTGTGCTTTTCTGTATATCAAGTGCAAAGAACATTCTCGGTATCTTTGACAAAGATGCTTTTTCCTGGAACTGTTATATTTTATCTGCTAACTATGAATAGCTGAAGTCTTCTGTAAATCAGTCTAAACAATTCATGTTTTCACCTCTGTCTAATCTTCAACCAGCTTCCCAGACTTCACAAAGCTATACTTTCATCCAGTTATATGATGATACCCTGCAAACACAAGTTTTAAATTTCATAAATAAAGTCCAACCAAGCCACAGCTTAGACAGGAAGGCTTCCAGTGAGTATTTTTTTATGTTGTAGCTTAAGTAAGAAAAGTAACTTGAGAATTTATTTTAAAAAATATTCCACTAATTGCAACCAGAACCTTTTTAGTATTACAAAATTGTAGACCTCTTTATCCCCACCTAAGTTTTCAGTAGTAATAGTTTTAATTCCATAAGGGACTTAAGAGCTAGTATCAACGTGCCTTTGTTGGTTTTGCAATTGACAGAAGTCACATGGGATGCCCCTACCACACAATACACTAAAAACTCTTTAGCTGCAGGCAAAAAGATACATTCTACACGCTGCTTCAACTAAGTCTAGTTGAAGCTGGGCTGCTTGGGGGTTTATTTGCAGAGATGGAAAAAATTAAATTTTAATCAAAACCCCTGAAACTCCTATTCTGAGGCAATTCCATTCTTGAACATCAAGACTTGAGAATTTCACTCTTCATATATTGTATCACTTACAAGGCTGATTGTCAGATACCAGTGTTAGATCAAACCAATCTTGTTTTCAACTTTGTCAGAGCTCAGTGTTGTCAGATGTGAAAGGTAATGGTGTTGCTACATGTTGACAAATATAATCACAGCTTTTAGGTTCACACCAAAGCTCTGCACAGCCAAGAAGCTTGATCTTCACTAGCACAAACAGACCACCTGTCTCTATCATGCACACAAACACATCAGAAGAGCACAGCAATGGTAGTCTAAGAAAAAGTATATACACCACAGTTAAGGCAGAAAAGGAGAAAATGCACCAGGATCACTCTGTATCAAAGCCCTCTATTTCAGAGAGAATAAAAATCAGATTGAAGACAGCACACTTCTTACACAGACTAATTCATTACTACTACTTTTTTATCAGAACATACCCATACCATTCAGTGCATTCATATGCAATACTAAATCTACCTTTCAGAAAAAGGAAGGCCAAGGATATTCTACTTTGCCATAGACATCACCTTTACTGTTTTTCCAAGCATGACAACTTAAGTAAAAAAAGTCAAAGCACAAAACATTTTGAAGTTTCAGCTACCACCACTTGTGTTCTTTTGTGATAGTAGTTAACACATTTTTTTCTGAAAACCCTCCTCCTGAAACTTAAGTGGAGTTTTGAAAAACACTTCACAGGAGAAAGAGCAAGTTGGGAGTAAGTTCAATTCTGCCTAGAATCCCCAAAGTTACAGCTACATCTGGCAAGTTTCACATCTTCAATTTAATCACTCCAAATTAGAAGTTCTAATTAATGCCAATTTTGTTCACTCAGGCCCTACAGGGAAAAAAATAAGTTCATGAATAGTTTATAATGCTGTCTTTGGAAACAAATGTATTAGAGCAGCTAAAGAGTTTCCCATGCATCTGGCTTACTGGCTTCCAGATGGATGAGGGCTAAAGTTGCTTTGACTTTCTGGGGATCTTCTGAGAGAACAAAGTAACTGCAGAGGCAAGGTATGTACATGCACCAACTGTTTTAGCTGCAAGTCAAACACCTCAATGTTAAACAGCAGTTTTTACAGAAGCATTCTCTTCCAGTAAGGGGATACTCTAAATACTGCTGCTTGCCAGAAATGGATTAAAGAATTGCTGTATCTATGGATGTACCAAAAACAAAGCTGTTTTCAGGTAGGGGAATAGAATGAGCAATTTAACACTGTACATGAAAAGCTTGTATCTTTCACTGACTTATTCACTTCACAATCACTGACAAGACTGATGTACATATTTCTGCTCCTGCAACTGTAAAAGCAGATAAAATATTTAATATGTAATTTACAATGTATTTTATCAGCTTGGCATACAGATGAACAGAATATATCAAAGTAGTTGAGTTATAGACTTGTGGAGGCCCTGCAAAAATATTAATTCAGGTATCTGCTAATTTAAAAAAAATCAATTTGCATTTTAGAAGTGATACAATTCCATCTACCACAAAGTACAAAGAGCTGCAAAAACGTATACCATTCCAACAACAATGTATATAAGTTATTAAATAATGATCTGATTTAAAAGAATATAAATGAAGCCTTTAAGTAGGTCTTTTCTACATGCATATTATTCTTCATTAAAGAAAAATATGTAAAAAGGCCATTGGTAATTGCTTTGTTAACCACTGTAGAAATTGCCAATTCTCTGGTCACAGATGCCCCTAGTTTAGCACTTAAGGTCTCTGCAGTGTTACATGTGATTATTTTTAAATACTGTTAATTCTATTACTCCATTGGTAAAGAATGTGTGACTTGGAATATGGCAGTCTTCATACTGAGAGGGCAGTGATGCACAGTTTTATAATTATCCAGAAGAACAGCACCCTCCACTGCTCTGTACTTGTGGCTCATCATCAATGATCTGTACACCTCGCCTTGCAATTCCTGACTGACTGGAGCCATTGCCTCTTGCTCTTTCATCCACTTGAGCAGTTTCTATCATTCCTGTAAAGAAAGATGTGTATTAGATGACATTCTATTGTATTTTTACATTAAGACTCTGCAATCTTAATCTGTCTGAACTATATGCACAGAGACAAAATTTCAGCAGGGGTTTGCTCTCCTATTTGTTATGCAGAACTAAATACTCAGGTATCACATGGTATAGCTGCAAGAACATATTGAATACTTTTTCTAAAGCACCCAACATACAGGAGCTCATGGTAACTAAGGGAGACTGAAGAGATCCTCAGGCGTCCTGGAGTTAGCAACTTCAAAAGCTAGATTTACACACCCTTATCAGTAACACTGTTAAAAAAACCCACACAAACAAGAAACTCCACCCTCCCAAAAAATCCCCAAGCAACTAACTCTTCAGAAGCGCACCAGACCTTTTCCTTAAATTCTTCTATCACATAAATACACCAACTAGCATGATTTGCTTGTGTTGGATTTTCATCCCACATACCATGATCTTTATGAGATTTCTATGTAAAATTTGCATCATTAGAGCTTTGAGTTTATGATTAGTAATTAACATAATTTGAGAAGATTTTTGAAAGAGTATGAAACGGAGGACTTGAAGCAAGCAGTGGTGAGACCAGTAACAGGATGTTTGATTTGGGTTACTACTTATGCATGATAAGTGGAACAGCAGTCAGTGCTCCAACAAATGACCAAGACATTTTTGGAGTAGAGCATGAATTTGCAATATTGTAAGCATCCATACTTCAAACTTCCAGAGCTGTTACAGAACTCCAGGGGCTCGAAGCAGACTGAAATGAAATCAGTTCTAAGTAGTACTTTACACTCAAACTCTTCTTTATGGCCTGAAAAGCATTTCTGAAGCCTGAAGCACTTTATGTATGAGCACTTACCAACAAACTACATAATACTTACTTTTGCAAAGGTCAAGAAACAGTTCTTCAATTCCTTTGTTCTGTTTAGCTGACGTGTGATAATGTTTTGCTCCAACAGATTCAGCATACCTGTAGAAATGCAAATATGGAGACTCATTGTAGTAAAGACTCAATCTTTCTACACCACTTTATATGAAAGAATAAGATGATCACAAGAGGTTTTATATTGACTTCAGAGTTAATCTACACATGCTTATTTAATACAAAAAAGGAATTGTGTGTTTAAAACTGCCAGGACTGATGCAACACACTAGATAAAATTAAGAAAATTTCATGTCTAGAAATGGATTTAAACTGTAAATATTGACTTTAATCACAAACAACTCTCAAGCTACAGTTTGGTCAGCCAGGACACCCTGTGACTCGGATACTAAGAGAGCACTCAACAACTGGCAGGCATAAGCCAGCAGTGCCTAGCTCGCTGCTATGTTAACAACATCACGAGTTTATTACTCCAGCATAATTCTGCAATGACTGTTTCTATTAGTAATAGGTGTGACTTACATTTCTGCTTCTTGCACGGAAACATGTCTCTCTTTTTCCAAGTCTATTTTGTTACCTGTTGAAAACAAGTTAATCTTTTAAGTCTTTATACTCTGAAATTATCCAGAAAGAAAGCAGACATGTAATCAGGGTACCCCATTTTCTCAAGCTGTCCCAGTAAAGACCAGCTCTTACACAGGTCTCACTCTGAAGGACAGTATGATTTGAGAATCTCCTTTCACACATACATTTACAGGCAATGAAGCGCCACTTCCATAGAGAGATCAGGATAGCTAAATGCCTCCATATAAAGCACCCAATTCAGCCTTTTGCCCTTTTTTTGTGATTTATTAGCACCTTCCATATGCTGCAGAGGTAATTTTTGTAGAATGTCCCCATTATCTAACCTCATGAAAGTGTTTTAACAATTAGATCAGATTTAAATCTAAACCCAGCACTTCCGTTGCATTCCATTTGCATTGAAATTTCCAAGCTTTAAGACTCACTCCAACAGGCATGCACTTAATTATCAAAACAGACAAGCAACTAGTCTATGCCACTGAGAAAAGCCATGAGTTTGAGTACTTGAAAAAAGGATAATATACATTTTTTTCTTAAACTACAGTGTACAGTGTCAGTACTATGCACTTCTAATAGTGTATAAGTAAACAGCTTATTTTTTTCAATTAAACTCTTATTTTCCTCAATGTGATCTAATGAAACTTTTAGATTCAGTTTAATTTTGAATACTTAACATAAACTTCACCCCTTCACATGTACAAGCTGTCAAAGCAGCATCTGGAAGATCCTATTAACCAAAAGAGATGTTTCCAATTCAGTCATGCTGAAAAAGACTTACCTACTATACATAAACAGATTTCATTTCCCAACATTTTTCTTAATTCCTTAACCCAGTTTTTTACCTGCAAAAAGAATAGAGGTGAGTTTGTTTCCATTGATATACTATTAAGTTAGGCAGTGTGGAACCATCCCATTTCCTTCATTAACTATCTACTCTAAATTTAAAGAAAAAATGTTTAGAGCAACATAGATAAAAAAGTAATCTTTAGATTTCTACGCATGGCCCTTTTTCAGCAGGTTTTATTTCACAGGTGAAATTAAGAGCAAATGACTTGGATAAAATGCTTCAATTACTCCAGAAATATAAATCACCACACTGAATATAGCAAGTTCACTGCATGGGCCACTTTAGGTCAGACATGAGATCTTTTATCAATAGGCAATTACTGACAGCCCACATATAGTACTTAAAGGTAGAGGCACCTGAACTAAGTTTTTCAGGTTAGATTATAACAGATGTTTGTTTCATGAGAGAACATATGGGACAAGCATGTTGAGTCAGCTGATGATAAGGTATCTGTTAACAAATCTATTGTCATGAAAAGTTTGAAAGTTGTACTATCACTGCATTGACTTAGGAACTGCTATTTTAAGGGAATAATTGTGAAGAGAGGCAATCACTTCAAGAATCTAAAAATAAGTTAGGCTACATCATCCAGCAGTGCTTCTGCAGTAACTTCTGTAAATCAGATTTCCCTGATTTCTTCTCACATTTGAATCAGTTATGCTGCTGTAGATCTGTATCCTTACACTATTTCTATCACTGCTAACCCAAGCCTTGCCCATACAACCACACTTTCTCACTTCTCTCTACCCAGAAGTCCAACTGGTTTTGCTGAAAGTCAGAGACAAACTTGCTTAGAAAAGTGTCACCAGTTTTAAGCTGAAAAGTCCTAGAGTGGTAGCACAGATTGACATAGGGTAGAAAAAACTCACATGATCAAACTGATCAACCAATACAGCCATAAAATAACTAGCCATCAAATTACACATTTTGATGAGGATTTGACAACAAATAACTTATCACAGAGAAGGTAATGTCTCCACTATCATGTATTGCAATTTCAGAGTTCTCAGATCTGTAAAAGGTTATGTCACTTAGTAACTTTTAGTAATTCGGTTTATACAGTAAAGATCAGTATGGCATACCATGACAACAGTCCAGGTTTATGTTTACTGCCTGTCACATGTAACTTGCACAGCTACATCACAGATTACTCTGAGTTGGAAGGGACCCACAAGGATCATGAAGTGCAAATCTTAAATGAATGGCTCATACAGGGATAAAACCCATAACTTTGGCATTATTTGCACTGTGCTCTAAGAAACTGAGGTAATTTTTTGGTGTTCTTTGAATAACATGATAACAGGAAAATCAGTCTTCAAAAGAATATTAATAGGCCTTATACTTCCATTACACGATCTACATTTGCAAGCATTTTATATATATTGCCAAAAACAGAAGACTTCTGTTTACACATATCACAGATTATCTTTCAACCAGTTTACAGTTTAGATGTAAAAGGTGCCCAGTACCTTTTGAAAAGAGTCTTCATCTGTTATATCGTATACTAGAATAGCGCCATTAGAGTCCCTGTAGTAGATAGGCCCCAATGCATGAAATCTCTCTTGACCAGCTGTATCCTGCATTTAAAATACACTTGTTAGCATTTAAGACAAAGTAACCAATACCTCAAGGAACTCAAAATACTTTATTAAGAAGTGCCTAACACTGGCAATATAGTAAGTCCAAGTAATTTTGTTTTTCAAAAAAACATTCTAATTAGCTAGAGAGGAAAAAAATAGAAACATACCCATATTGCAAGGTTTACTCTTTTTCCACCAATATTTAGTTTCTTCGTAAGAAAAGATGCCTGGAAAACAAAACAGATTAGAGTTAAGTTTTAGATGACAAACACATAATTTGACTTGAAATTAATTAATAAAGCATCAGAATCAATAAAAGACAAATTTCCAGATCAAAAGACTCTGTAAGCAAGAAGGCTAAGTCAATACTAGGCCAGTTAGCCATTTCACTATAGTTTGCCAGCAGTCTATTCTAAATAAATTTGAGTAAAATCAATCATTTACTACAACTTTTTGCTGTTGTTTTGAATGATTTGGGAAGGACGTGCTGTATAGAAAGACTGAATTCCCAACACTGATAAGTCTAAGCTAAATTTAAAGCACTTCACAAGACTACATGAAGTTTGGGTAGGAACAAGCCTAACAGCATTTTTATTCTGTAGGAATAGGCAACATAGTTCACTATTAGTAACATACTAGAAACATAAACAATTGTTTTTAATTTTTCACTAAATATCTTGGAACATTAGTATTTCATAAGTTTCCTTGTCTGTAGCTTTTCTCTTTTCTGCTGAAGTGAGCCCACAACTCACCCTCATCTGTTTTTTGGTTCTGTATTTTTGTTTGAGCTGCAAAGCCTCAGAATAAGCATAAAAGCTGCTTTAGAATTCCACTATTTTAACTTCTGGATATGTTTTACAGGACCATAGCACATTGCAAGGTTAATCTAATTTCAGTAACTTGAGTAGGTTTGGTTTCCTCCAAACTTTCATGATTCACATTTTCAGACACCACCTCTGTTACTAGGTCTGTAATTTGACAGCTAAAAAGAATATAATTTAACACAAGTTTAATGGACCAGAAGAGGGTCTCAATGATGCATTAGGAATCTGCTCCCCCCACTCTAAAGACTAGCAGTAACATGTTATATCAAACAATTTAGTTATCAAGGGCTAACTTTTTCTTCTGCCTTAAATTATAGTGAGTTTTCATTTCAGTTTTACCTCAGTTTGATTTTGGGTTCAAAAAAGTACTCAGTGGTATTCTATGATACATTCATCACAGTTTATTTTAGGCTGTATTGCAGCAGCTCAAGAGGAGTTCTCTGTATGAGAACTGACCAGCCACAGAACCAAGAGTCATATGTGTGCAAAGTGTCATGGGTCAGATGACCTGCTTGAACCAGCTTGCTGCTTAACTACACAAGCAACCAGAATGCAGAAAGAAGACCACAGCAGTTCAATGCACACTAGCCTAACCTGCTGTCAAAGTGCCTTTCTGGAGTGCTGCCCGTATTACAGTTAAAGCCATCCAACATTCAGTTGCTAGAGCAGCTCCTACTCTTCAGCTACTTCCCTAGCATCTGCATGACCCAAGATGAGATGATTAAAAAAATCCTTTTCGTCTTTAAGTTGTACCTTCCCCCAAACCTTTCCACAGAGTCTGATAAAAACAACACAGAGAGAGAACAGACTAGAAGGAAAACACTTTCCAAGAGCAGATAGCAAAGAACTGATCACTACAACCCTTGTGTTCAACATAACTAAAGCATTAACACTACATTACCCTATCAGTCTATAGTGACAGGACTCACTGTAGTGTCAAAAGCCTGGAAAAACTTCCAGACAGCATATTGAATCGATCTGATCCTCTAACCAACAGTTTAAGATAAGAGAAATCTTCAACATCAGAAAACTTTTCATTCTTTAATTAAAAACTCTAGAGAAAGTAGTTGATGGCTTTCAAACAGCTGTCCCCGAGGATGAACTCATCAGTAGTCTTCATCATTCGTTGTATTACACCACAGTTTAAAAGCTGGAAGCTTGGAGGCAACTTCAGAAGTTTTAATCTAGCAACACTTGGGCCACAGGGAGAGAAGCTATTGTTAGGCACAATGAATCAAGCTTACCTGACAATATTTTATTGATCTGCTGTATTACAGTACTCAATATTCTAGTGCAAATCTCAAAGGAAAAGCTCTTCTGAGCAATGTTTGCTTTTGTCATAACACTAACAATCCAAACCTGCTTAGTTAATGTGAATTCCACTCAAGTGTTTGAGAATCAATTTCTGAGCAGAAAAAGCTTTCACAGAAAGGGGATGCATATTTTAAAACACAGAACGCAGTATCCATAAAGTCATATCATTGCAGCTTTAGACAATAACCCAGTTTTTAGCACAAGTATATCTCTGTCCTATCTGACAGAGCAAAAACTAAAGTACATTTATCTACATATGTGAGTTTTGCTTCAGTATAACCTGTACTTCAGGTACTACAGCTTTTGATAGGAATACTGTCTTTTATCACTCGGATTATAGATTTCCATTTTTATATAATCCAGCACTAAAAGACTCCTACATGGATGCTTTTTAGTATTATAAAAACATCCATAACCACAGGAGACTTAAGCAAGGGTATTTAGCACTGGGCTATCATACTTGCTCTCTATAATAAAACTGGATGAATTTGTAATGATTAAATTTTAGTCTATAAAAAAATCTTAGGCTCATAGTCAAAAAAGGAGAGACAGTATCCTCTATCAGATACCTAACAAGATTGGAACTTGGTATTTAAGCAGTCACGATTAGTAATGAGCAGAAAGCTTTGTGAACATGCTGGAGGAAACCATCAATACTATACTACAGATTTAATTCTTCATTCTTCTTTAGTTTGTTCACATACTTGAAGAATACAGGCTCTGCTCACAAATTAGTAGGTATGGGTGAGTTTGGTGCATTTACCATAAGTAAAATTAATTTTTACATCCACACTGGAAAACATGACAAAGGCAAATCAACTAATATCTTTTAACCTTTCAGCTCACACATACATCAGTAATTCTGAGGTTAATGAAGGAGGGGGAAAAAAAACCCAAAAACAAATGAATAGCAAGACTATGCAGTTTCTAGAAATTTGGTAAAACCCAACACATAAGAAAGAGCCTTAACTTCTTTCTTGAGATAGTTTAGAGTAAAAGTCAGTTGCCAAGATTTTAAAGTTTGTCAAGTTTGAAAATCAAAGCCTTTGACTAGCTACAGGGCATTAGATAATTACACACAGAAAAAGCTTCAACATTTTCTCTAATCTCAAAAAAATATACTGAATTGAGTACTACGAGTCTGCGTTGTGACTTGATTTATAATCAGTAGCTATTCCTCATATTATTTTAATTACTACAACAGTTCAGTTTTGCTAGGACTTTCAAAAACTCAAAGGACCATGGTTAATTCAAATGTAAGTAATTTTAAATAACTCTTTGAAGCTTCTAATTTTTATATTTTGACTCTACTGTCTTATGACTAGTTTGAAGAATTACTTAGGCACTTAGAAAAGAATAATGCAATTATAAGAGCTAAAACTCCAATCTTTTCATGTGGCTGCAGGAAATATTTTCTTTCTTTTAATTCTTTCTTCTAGGAGTGCAGTTTTGTATGCCCACCAGGCCCTGCTAGGAGCTAATAAATGGGCTTGAGTAGAACACAAGGAAGATACAGCTGGAAGAGAGTCTCCTGAAAGTCACTGAACAAAAACAGGTGTGTGGCTCCTGCCTATGCTCAAAAGAAGCAGGTCAGGCATACAAACACTGCATATAGCATTGAACTTCCACTCACTCCCCAGCTATCTTGATAACCAAGACAGCTTTTCCAGGTTATGCCAAACCCATCAAAGCAATCAGTAACTCTACAATTACATCCACATCAGCAGCTCTCTTAGGTTGGATATTCTGCAATCCTCCACACATTGGAAAGAGCAGTATTCAGAAATTGTATTTATCCTGAGTAATTAAATAACAAAAAGTATTTACCCAATTAAAAAACCCAATAGTTTGAAAGTAGGTTTATTATTAGAGTAATTCCAGCACAGTTCACTTGATATCAATTTATATCTTATAATTATTGTATGAAGATGAAGACACTTACTTCAATATTTCAAACAATGGGAAGCAATTCTAACTGCCCTGCCAGGTCTGCCAACAGGTTATGAATTAATTGTGTGCAAAACACCCTACTTTTCTGCATCAGCTTTTCCACAATGTTCTAACTAGATGGTTTCTTCTGTGAATCAGTAGCTACCTTCATTTCAACATCCAGGTCATCAAGATCTTAAGTACATGGCTTGATACTAACACAACTACAGCAACACATCTCAGCAGCCCCCTAAATCAGAGGAGGTTTCAGGGCACTCCAGTTGCATTGAGAGAGGGGAGTGGGGAGGGAGGAGAAACTGCTCCCTTTTAGTCAGTCTTCTGTTACTAGCACCAAAGAAACCTATTTGGGTATAGAAATAACTTCACAGTAGAAAAACATCATTAGATGAAGTTTCCAGAAGGCTACAGTCTCACCACCCTTTCTGTTGCAAACACACAGGAATAAAGCACTATACAATACTTTCTTTTTTTAAGTTAGAGAGTATTGTGGATGGAGAGCCTCTTGACTCAATATCTAGTGATAGCTTCGTACGATTCATCACTGTTACTCCTTTGCTGGATCAGGAGCAAAGTATTTATCTAATAGCTTCATACGATTCATCACTGTTACTCCTTTGCTGGACCAGGAGCAAAGTATTTATCTAATTTTGGCTTTATTGGAACAAAAGGAATTTGATGCATTGCTTTTAACTGTTGCCATGAAACAAAGCAACCTTATCATATTAAGCCTTTTATCTTAAAAAAACAAAAAAAACCAAAGGATACTTTGCAAATATGTTACTTCATTGCTTAACCAGATTGTCTTCATTTTATTTTTAAATTCTCTTTTAATTTAATAGTGGAAATTTTTTTTTTCTAGAATGGTAAGATGGAGGGAAATAAAAGTAATAAAGATAACACTTAACAAGTGCACATAATGCACAGTAAGATTCAACAGCAATTGACATTGTATTTTATAATCAGCAAGATGCATATATGACTAAGGAGGCTCAGGACAGAAAAACAAACAACTCGATAAACAACGTGCAGTCAGTTAAAAGACACAGGTAGCAACCACAAACCTGGTTACAGTGGAGAAAAAAATCTCAGTAGGAATGACAACACACCCCTCTCCAGATAGTCAAAACCAAAAGCTCTGGAGCCACACCATCTACAGACATTTACTATCAGCATTTTGGAGCAATTTAAAATGAGTTTTATGATATTTGTGACCCAAGTCTGCATTTCAACCCAGTTTTTTTCTCGTAATTTTAGGTTTTCCACTACAGAGTTAAAGAACAAAAAACCCCAAACAACAAACATAAGTTTCATCACATAACAATCTACTTGGACCTACTCTTAAAACATGGGATATGAAAACTCAGCTACCCATGACCAATTTGGTGCACTTTAATTGATTGTCTGCTCAATGCTACACTTCTGACACCTACAAGCTACCAGGTATCTCTGTGGCATACCAAGCATCAATTACCGATGTGGCATGACAGCTACAACTAGCTTCCTATAAATACCTTGCCTAGTAAACTCACCAATAGACTAACCCAAAATCTGCGTATGAACACAAGATAACAAAGTCTAAAACAGTCTTTTTAGCTCTTCACAGAAAAAAATGGAGTTACATTATCTGTTTATGAAACATTTTCTGCACTGCCTCTAGTGCATCTATAATGCGGCTTTCATTTATGGTAAAGTTTCACTAGTACTTACTTCTGAGAGGCACAGTTCAAGAAGTTTCCTCAAAATGCATGGAACTGGTACATAACTACCTTAAAACTCTTTTCTTTTTAACATCATCTGTTATTTCTTCTGTACTTCAAGAAACTCAAAATTACTTCAAAACCCACTACTGGTCCGCCAAGTGGCATGGTTTATTTCTCTACTTAAAAAAAAAAAAAAAATTAAGAGTAGCATACATTGAAACCACACTTCCACCTATGCAAGGTGACATCCTGAAAGACTTAACACACCACTCACAACACAAACTTCAAAACATGTTTTCTGAGACCATGCACAGTACAAGCAGTTTATTCTGTAACACAGCATACATGCCATCCATCACTAACTAGTAGGCCGTGAAAAAACCCATTACATTCAAGCAGGCACCCTGTCACATTTCACGTGTGGAACATCACTTTGTAGTTCTATGTAACAGTAGCCAGTACTACTGAGAATCCAGCCAAAATTCAGGGAGCTGTCGTGACAAGCAGTTAAGCTTTAAGAATCTTTCCCATTATTAAATCATAAGCCTTAATCTCATAAACCACTTTGTGAAAGCTGGTCTCCTTAAACAGAAACGTTTAGATAGTGCTAACGTTAGGATTTGAAAACATGAGGAAGACTGTTTAACAGAAACGCAGCACGTATGAAACACTTAGTCATCAGCCCACTAACAACGATTACAGTAACAACATTACTTTTGCATCATACTTTCCACGATTCAAATGAAGACATTCATATATGTAATTGAAAAAAACGGAGCAGTTAGTATGTAGAGGAGAAACGAGGCCTGAACATAGTGAAAGCTTAAGATCTGAGGCGTGAAAAGAAGGAGAAAACTGGCTTCCAGCAAACTGGGCAGGGGACAGGCACCATTAGCGAGCGGCGGCGGTGGCTCGGGCTGCCCCTCAGCTGCAGACAACACACCGCCAGCAGTGCGAGGAGGCGCCACGGGAGCGGAGAACGACAGCGGGACCCCCCACACCACAACCACCGCCACCCCGGCCCGGCCCGCACCTGCAGGGTGGTGATGTGCTTGTCGTTGAACTTGTTTTCGCAGTAGCGCAGCACCAGCGATGTTTTCCCCACGCAGCCCTCCCCGAGCAGCACCACCTTGAAGGAGAAGCTGCGGCCCCCGGCCGCCGCGCCGGCCCCCGTCGCCATCCGCGCCCCGCCGCTGAGCCGCGCCTCACATCAACGGGCCGCTCCGCGGCGCCGCCGCCGCCCACCGGGACGAGGGCCCGCGGGGGAGAGGGGCTGGCGGGGGCGGGGAGGAGAGTCACCGGGGAGGCCGCGGAGACAGAGGCAGGAGACGGGCACGGCAACCGAACCTGCCCGGGAGCCGCGGCTCTGCTGCCCCTAATGGCGGCTTCTTCCTCCTACGTCACGCAGCGCCGGTCACGCGCAGCCCCCGCCGCCAATGGGAGGGGCGGGTCTGGGGGCGGGGCCGCCGCGCGCCCCGCGCGGTAAGGATTGGTCCCTAGAGCCCGCGTGGAGGCTCGCCCTGCAGCGCGCGCACCCGCCGAGCGTTTCCCCGGGGAGACCGAAACAACCGCATGAGCACCGGCTCGGACTTTGTTTGATTCGTTCCTGGGAACTAAGCTACACTAGTCTCTAAATGTTTGCAAAACAAAAATCCGTAATAAAGTACTTTAAATCAGGGATGTTGGAGCAGGTAAGGAAAAAAGCAAAGAAAAACATTCTCGCGTCAAGTTCCTTGTTTGCAGGGGTCCAGTAGAGTTTCATACACAAGAATTGGATAACTGCCTTGTAAAACTGGGTATCATTCCTCAATTAAAAGCAATCCTCACAAACCGATCCAAACGACTGCAGTGCAACCTCTCTAGTGATGATTTAGTGGTAAGAAAAATAATGGCTATGAAAAGGCTTCATAGTGCAATTTCTTTTTTCTCTGTCAGATAATATTAATGCTCTGTTGTATGAGAAATGTGAAAAATGCCATTCACTTGGTTTTAAAAAATTTTAAAAGTTTAATAATAATATCAAAATAGTAATACAATTAGAGTAATAAAGTTTAGAGTTAGGACAATTACAAGACAATAAAAAGTAAAGAATTACAAACGTCCGGTGACACTAAGTCATGAAAAGCATGACTTTTGAACAAAGGAATCACCTTAAAACAATACACTTGCTGCATATTCATATATCCTTCATGGTTATGCATACATTCTATTTAAAACAAGATACTGTCTGTTGTATGCCAACTGTTCCTGTAATCCCCATGGCATCTTCGAGTCCAAGCAAGGCCTGAAGAAATTAGCTTCTTCTGATAAGAAGTCATAAATTCCTCTCCTTTGGAAGATTTAGGTGTTCCTTGAAGTGAGTATCTCATTCCTAAAAAAAACTTCCCCATATACATAGTCTCTATTTTAACATTATGTTGGAACCTAAAACTGTATTTAACACACTACTTAAGAGAATTAATACAGCTTAACTTTCTAACATTACATATATTATATTCATTGTAGTATTTTTGAAAAGCCAATCATAAAATATGCATTTTTCACAGAAAGAAAAAGAGAATGCATGCAGGAGAACAAGGACTTGATTTCCTGGTGTAAGAAGCCTCATCACTGAACAGTATTACATTCACACAGAATGGCTTGTTTTTATTTCATCCAGAGGTAAGCAAAGGAAACCTCTGCCATGGTGTAGAGTCAAAAGATGCATTTCTCACTGACGGTAGACTGCTGCAAGTAGCTACAGTATTCCATCCTTTCTGTTCTCCTCTCTGTGATTACTGGTTCTGTTGTATGAGAAACCTGTAGTTTCAAAACTTCAGTCACCTGTATTGAATAAAACTAAAAGGCTGATCTGTCTGAGAAGAGAAATTCTGCCAGTGCTACCTTAAGTGCCACATTTCACTGTAATCTCATATACTACTTTGAAAAATCTGTAGGTTTAGCTATCAGTGAGTGTTACCAAGTTATTTTAATGGTGTTAATTTAATTTGGGAAGTGTTTCTTTTGTTTCAGAGAATTTGAGAAGAGAATGGCTCTTTTACCTTCAATTTATTTCACTTCCCCTTTTTACACAACTTCCTAAAACCATTTGTACAGACCTTCTGTGTTATCTATGCTGCTGATTATATCTGCATGAGAAATGCCTTTCAAGATGTATTTTATATTTCATGAAGATACTACAATACTCTGTATGTTATTAAACCAAAACAAATTGTACTACTGTATCCATTGCCGTGAACTTTGAACATTTCTGTTTTATTTCACAGGTGGTGTCATCTCTAAAAGTGAAAATAATGTTCTTTCAGCTCGCATTATTATATCTTACAAAAATATTAAATGTGTTAACTCCACCATGAACTTAAGTGTATGCAGTAGCTGTCAGTGGAGATACTTAAGCTGGTCAAACCTACAACAGCATAAACAGCACCTCCCAAGCTGTGGACAACACACAACTCATTTCTAGGACCATTATATATATTAAATAATATAAAAGTAGAAGTTGATTTGCAGATAATGTCAGTCTTTTTTCCATTTTTTCCTTTGGAGAATATTTCTGAGCATAATTTAATATAATTGCAGAAAAAATTTCTGAATTTATTTGATTTGCTTGTAAAAGAATCATATTACAAAATCTCAGCCAAATAATGTACAGTTGTATAAGATCAATGTCTACAAGAGTACAAGATGTCCAAAAAAGCATGAAATCAGAACAGGGGGGGAAAACCCAATTATAACAACAAAAACCCACTTAAAAGGAAGTTAATAGTATTGTCAAAAAGAACAATTCAGATTCAGAAGACAAAGAATAAAGGTGAAGAGCAAAGCATATAGAAAAGAAAAATAAAAGAAGAAAAGAAAGAAAAGAAAAGAAAAGAAAAGAAAAGAAAAGAAAAGAAAAGAAAAGAAAAGAAAAGAAAAGAAAAGAAAAGAAAAGAAAAGAAANAAAGAAAAGAAAAGAAAAGAAAAGAAAAGAAAAGAAAAGAAAAGAAAAGAAAAGAAAAGAAAAGAAAAGAAAAGAAAAGAAAAGAAAAGAAAAGAGAAAAGAAAAGAGAAAAGAAAAAGAACAAATCATTTGTAAAGAATCTTGACCTGGAGCGACTCCTCTGAATGTGTTTTTCCCACTCACTCATTGCTGAGAGACTCTATGTACCCACAGGGATGTATTTGACAGGTTCAATAATGTCCTTGGAGACTTTGTGCAGCGTGAATTTTTTTTCTGATTTATAGAAATAAGTAAAACATAGCATCTGATTTCTACTTAAGAAACAATGCCAGTGATGAACAATGTTATTTTTTCTTGTAAAGAAAAAGAGTATTATTTTCTAAAAGTTCAATTCTCCATGTTGAAGCAGAATTGTCTGCAAATGTAATTTTCCCCCAGGATAAGCAGTTCTGAATTCTTTGCCACTTTGCATTATGGTTTTCATTCACCCATGGCAATGCTGAATACTATTCCCATGCAATCAAGAGAGATCCCCTTCCTGAGAAGCCGCATCCTGGACGTCCACTGAGAACAGCAAGCACGCTGTTCTACCATTCACTGACCCCTTGCTATTGTTGTTTCTACTTTCAGGAGCAAAGGCAATGTTCCAGCTCCAAATGAGAGGCCCTAACCCTCTAAGAGAGGGTAAACCAGTGGCTTATAAATGTAATAAAGTGCCAGTTACAAAAGACAAAACCTCCCTTCTGCAGAAGTCTGCTTACCAGATGTATGCTATAACAGTATTAAGAATGAAAACATTAAAAAAGACAAAAAAAAAAAACCCAAAAAACAAAAACAAAAAACAAACAAACAAACAAACAAAAAAACCACAAAAACACACACAAAAAAAAAAACCACAAGACACAGAAATTCTCATTTTAAACACATATTGGCAGACCAGGGAAATTCCAGAGGAAGGCAGAACTGGTTAAAATTTAAAAAATAAAAATGGGACCCATACAATCATCAACTACCTAGAATATTACCAGTCATTGGCAAATCTTGTTTAAACAGTCATGCCACTGTTTTCAAACACAGAAGCAGGCAGGTTCAAGAACAGACCTACAGGGCTGTATTCACTTCATGGGACATATAAAGAATGGAACTTGGCACCAGAATAACTTGCTGCTGTGTGGTACAACAGGAGATGGGGACAACAGTGGCACTGTAGGCTTCCTCAGAATCTGCTCAGGGTGGGAGAGAAGTGCAAGAGAGATCTTGCAGTGTGCTGACTGTGGGCCACAGCAGAAATAGCAAAAGGGAAGTTTTCATTTACTGGCTGATAAGCCAGCAGATTTTCCAAGAGCTTCTATAAAGGAATGGGAACATAGGAAGGAAGCATGGGTGCCAAAAGGGTTCCTCAGGGACATCCCAAAACCTACCAGTTTCAGTGTTACTGAGCTTCAGCTAAACAGTGAGGAGAGGATAGAAATGAGCTGCTGTGAGCAAAATGGACCTGTTTTGCATCATGGAAAGCTTACTTAATCACCTATACATCTTCATCCAAATCATCATCTGTGTAACAGCAACCAGCCTGTCCACAGACGTACTCTTTGGCAATGGTAATTGCCTGTTGCATGCAGGCTTGCACAGCCTTCTGTACACACAAACGCCCTGATACACCCATCTTCACCATGGCACTCACACCTTCAGCTGTGGGGAGGAGCAGATGATGACAAAAAAAAAAAAAAAAAAAAAAAAAAAAAGTAATGACACAAAATAAAGACTAGTAATTAAATGAAGCATTCAAATGTTATGTGTGCCAGTCAACAAATTCTAATGGAAAAATAGGTCTCATCAGAGAAACCTAAGATGACATTACAGTCTTTGGCTGTTCAAAGGTAAGGCCATAGCTGTACTAATTTTTTCAGGAGCTTGACTTAGTACCCACATGCTAACAATGGGGAAAAAAATATTTTTTTGATGCAATGAAAGACAAATATATTGCATCAAGAACTGGATGAGCAGTTCAGAGTAGTGAGACAGTTGTCTTTGAAAACTGATGTTTCCTTTAGGGCCTTTTGGGTTTCCTAAATGGCCTGTAAAGTAAATATAAGATCAATGCTAATCAAAGTTGAAGCAATATGGCACTGTCAGTGTGATAAATAATGACAAGAATGGGGTGTTCAGCAAAAACTGTATAAAAAGCTGCTATCTGAAAATTAAAAGCAGAAACATTATAAAGAATACAAAAGTGTTACCTCATCGCTAGTGTAACAAATAAGACAGTCAAAACCTAGCAGGTATCTAAGTATATGAATGTAGTAAAAAGGCAGAGGTAATTCCTGGATATGAAATAAGGAAGTAATGAAGAATTTTTTAATCTCAGTGCATGGCTCTGATAAAACTTGTACTGGAATTTGGCATACAGTTTTAAAATAGGGCAGAGAAAAGGAAAAGGCTCACTTTGGTCAGCTCACCAGTGCTGTTGCAGGAACAGGCACAAGGAAAGAACTAATAGTAGGAATCTAAAGCCAGACACATTCAGATTCAAAATGAAACACAAGTTTTTAATGACCAATACCAAGTGAAGCAAATAATTCCTTATTTTCTGACAGCTTTGCTTGAGGGGTGCTGGGTAGCCTAGTGACATGAGTTTGACCAGATACAGATTGCATTTCAGGCAGTCCCCAGGCCCAGTTCACAGGAGACTGACTATCTCTACCAGCTCTCACATCTAATAATTTTAAATAATTTTATTTTTTTCAATATTGTGTTCATCATATCTACTGCTGAAAAAAGACAGAATTATTAATGGCCCAAATGAGAACCACATCTCACTAAAATGTAGGGCCTTCAACTAAGACTTCTAAAATTTAAAAGGAAATTTGTACTCTAAACATATACTTCATGGGAATGAATGGAGAAGTCCCAGGACTACACTGTATGGTTTGAATTGAAGCAATTTATCCTAAAGTAGCCTTTAAAACAAGGAAAAAGATTTAATAAACCATTTTTAACATTATCATTCAACTCCTACCATTGATATAAAATACATTGCTGTGGTCTTAAAATACATATGCATTTGCAGACACTTTCCTTTGTGAAGGGTTCCATAAAGTGTTTTGCTCAGCAGACACTCACGATGAGCAGGTAAACAAACCAGCAACAAGTTACATTGTCAAATATCACTCTTGCTCAGTCCTACATTTTAAAATATTGTGTAAAGGACAAGTGACTGGACACCAGGATGATCATGTAAACTCTTAAAGCAAGTGCTTTCCTTTCTGTGACTGCACAAATTGAATTGAATCAGCTAGCCTATTATTTTATTCATAATTTCTCCCTTAGAAGTTTCTAATTAAAGCCAGTGCTTCTTTTAATTGCACTAAGTAACCCAGTTGCAAGAAAGTCACACAGACAAAATGCAAAGAAGACTTTATCAAGGTCAAGTGCATATTACTTTCAGCAGAATGCTTTCCCTAAAACCAACATCTCCTTTCTGCTTTGACCAATTAAATATTTTATGTTAAAAGGTTTGTATTTTGTTGTTAGAAATGGAGAGCTGTAGTAATAGAAATATTGGTCACACTTTCTGTAGAGAAAATGCTTACGAATGTATGACTCCTGCCCCCATGCCTGAAGCAGGTGATGCCTCAGGGCATTGTGAGGGGTTGGGGGAATTACATGTGTCTTTTCAATTCTGCAGGAAAAAAGGAATCTTCTGCACCATCAGGAGATTCTGAATATGAATTGTTCTGTAGGGTCTGATTAGATAGGATTCTATGTTTAAAAACTATGTTGTAACAAGCAGCAGCAATTATGTGCTTCTGGTAAAAGCCTCCTGTGAGTGAGAGCAGTATACCAAGTTGCATTGTACTCCTGAATGGGCTGTCTGCCAGCATGGGGTTCCTTTTCTGCTTTTCAGCTTTCCTGTCTGAAAAAAAAACTGGGAATGTATTATAAAAAATTGCTTTCATTAGAGATAGGAAAGAAAAAGGTAAGGCATGTAAGTTTAACATCTAGATCACATTCTTATTTCAGGTGAGTTCTGTAACCAAATGAGACATTTGTTAATCTATTCTAATCTGTTAACCTATTTGAATGTAAGTGGTGTATTACTCGAATCTGCAGTGAGAATGTGAGAATATTTTTGTTCATTTAACTTCAAACTCTAAAGAACAATAAATTATATTACACTTCCTTTTTGTCTTGTGATAAGGGATTTGGGCACTTTTTATTGTTTGGTTGGCAATGGATGCTTTTTTTTTCTGGCATAGATTTGTACAAGCTAAATCCACTGCAGACATTCCACCAAGTGCACTGTCAGATGCTGACACCCATGTCTTTGTTTTCTTATGGCACCTACCAAAGGACAGTTTCCAGAATTCAGAGGTGCGTAACACTCATGCTTCTCATCCCAATGCATCATGAATCAGCAGAGTTCAGCCCAGTGAACTTCTTCATTTTAAATTATATTAGGATTAGAGACTTAATGGAATGAGATGATGCACATCTGTTGGGAGCACCATAACCAAGACATTTGGCAGTTTAAGGCAGACTGAGACTGCTACTCCTTTGAGGGACCATTTGATCATAGCAGCTTTTGACAGTGGAATGAATTCAGGACTTAGGAAGTCAACAAGTGAAATAATGAAATACCAGGCAAACAAGTAATAGTGACAATAGTGAGAAAAAGAGTAGGATGATAGAAGTCATTGCTTTTCTAGTACTGGGCTGATCTCTGCATAAGCCAGCACAGCAAGAGCCCTTTACCAAGAAACATCACAACACAGTCACATGATTTTTTTATGAGGTCTTTCTATCTTCCCAGCTTCGCAGCTAGGGCTGCACCTGCAAAGACCTTATAAAAATAGTAACTGAAGATACTAAAGGGTATTAACAAATGAGCACCAGAAAACTTCTTACTGCTTTCTACTGATGTTTCTTCTAATTGCGGAATGCATTGTTTTTTCAAACCACTGTTGTCCTCACTAATGGTGTGGGTTTGAACCTCCAAGAACAATTTGGGCAGTGATCGCATTGCAGTATTTAATTCTGCTTTATGCTTGTTTGAACATAGCCACAAAAGAGCAGCCACCAGACAAGAGAGGTACAAACAAGTTATGCAAGGCTTCACAGGCAACTCAGCAGGTCCAGTCAGGTAGCTCCCTGCAAACAGGCAGCTGTTTCCATACTGGTGCTGTTCTCCTTTCCTCAGCATGGGTCAGGCTGGTTCTTCCACATTTCAGTTAATCCAGTCTTCACTTCTTGACTCTCACCCGGATTAGCAAACACTTGTCCTTGCTCTAAAATGGCAAATCCCAGAACAGCATAGAGCAAGCAATGCTGCTTGTTGGTCTGCTACAGGAGGAGACATCTGTTATGAAGATATTTTCAAAGTGACACAGTGTATGACACTTACTTCATACCATCAGTCAGTCACAAAATGTTTCCTGATAGGAAATCATAATGGTGATCATCTACTTTCCTATGCATCCACCTTTTTCTGTTTCAAGGAAAACTCTGACATACAAGGATGTGGTAGAGTGCCCATCATCAAAGGTATTCAAAATGTGATTGGACAGATTGGTTATTGCTAGATAATCTCACCAAAGATCCCCTTCCCACAAAATGATCCACAGATGATCTCTCAAAAGTCCCTTCCAACCTGGGCTGTTCTGTGATTCTATGACTTAATAAGTGGTTGTAGTGGGAAGATATTAAAAAAATTGACTTTGTGACATGAATGTTGTAGAAAAGCTACTAAATATTCCTGGTGGAATTTCTTCACTTGGAATTAAGTTTTACAGACATGGGAGTACCCAAGTACAAGCTGCTATTTTCTCAGTAGCTTTGTTTCCACATTTCTGTATTCATCCTCATTTGGTATTGGTATTAATATTTACTGAGGGTGGCTGCAGGCTTGGGAGTGCTGCAGGGATCCACATTAGTCTGAGTGAATTCATGTACCTTCTCTGATTTATGCATTACAACAGGCCCACAATTGTATCCCAGAGCTGCACCTTATCCCCCAACAGAAGAAGTATTTAAATTAAAAACTATTATCCAGTTATAGCAAGAGCCAGAAGCACACCTGCATACCTACAAAGCTTTAAGGGAATAAATTTCCTGTAAAACAGGTTAACTCCTGCTTGAAGAAAAGTGACTTAGTAGCAATTTAAAATGTTAGATAATGAAATATAAAGAAAAGGCTGCACGGGGACCAAAGTACTGCTGAAGAAATGCAGGGAAAACAAATCCTACTTACAAATCTGAGATGCCCAGTCCTAACAGATTGCAATATGAATAGTGCCCAAGTTGGTTCTGTAAAATACCAACAGAATTTCATGACATTTCAGCCCTTTACTGTCAGACGAAGTCAATCTGCAGAATCAGCTTGTTCTTAATATCCAAAACAGGTGGTATACCCCTTTTGGTTTTTACACTACTTTATTTTGCTGTCCCAGGAAACTGTGTAATGATGGACCCAAAACAATCTGCAGCTGTAACAATAAAACAGAAATCTAAAAAACAGATACTGGTGGTTCTGATACCGGTATACTTCAACAATCACAGCACCAAGTCTGGGTGAGACCTAGCTAAAGATTTCTTGCATGCAAATATGTCAAAATTTTACTTAAACATCTATCACATCCACCAATCAAGCCAAGCACAAGAACCTGTAAATCACAATTGTAACCACTTCATTTAAAAAGTTTTTGAGTGTATTGCTGTGAAAATATTGATGCCACTTAATTATTAATGCAAAATCTGTGCAAATTTATAAACAAATTCATTAACAAATGCAAATTTATTAACTGCAGTAACCTATCTTGCAATTTTAAATTTATCAGCTTCCTGTTTTTTCTCTTTTCTCCCTTTTTCTTTTTACTTCCTGCATTTTTTGTCTCTCCAAGTAGCACTTGGACACAGGCTATTCATTTGCTGCCTTGTGAGCCCAGAAACTGCTTCTAGTGACCCACACTAAGTTACAGGCAGTTTGTCACATCCAGCAATTTCTTCCCTGTATCCCCTACTCTCACCTCCACCTTCTCATAAAGTTTGTCAGTTTACAACTACTGAGTAGTTAAACGTAACAATATTTGCCTAAGCTATACTCAGTACACCTGAAGTTAATGAAGTAAACCCTGTCCTTTTCAGAGTTTAAGTGTGCTCAGATCTTTGTGTATACTGGAAACTTAGGAGCAGTTTCAAAAGCAACTCAAGTGTCATAACTAAGATATGACAAAAAAAAAATCAAAAATAACAGCCTTTGAAGATGCTAACTACAGGATTTCAGTCAGATCACATTTGTTCATATGATCACAGATCAAAGCATTTCATGCTGCTATGAATATGAAATGAGATGTCATCTCACTATGGTAAGCTGGTTTTCAAATGAACTCATAAAAAATAGTGAAAAAGCTGACCATGTCCACTTCAGTGGTTGAAAGTACATTTCACTTCAGGAAACGAAAGAATATAAGAATAAGGCATTCAACTGGTGAAAAAAAAAAGTATCTTACAAAAATTTTATCTTGCTCAATTCCAGAAACCACAACAGTATTAATAAGCAGCATAAGTCCAAACAGTACATTAAATTTCCAAGTGTTTATTGTTAAAGTTTAAGTGCATATATTACTTCCATAATTTTGTGCCCTTCCACAGGAACAGACATAGAGCAGCTACATAATTTGTTCTATTCAGAAAACTTTGAAATCTCATCTTTAAATCGAATAATACAGTGAAGTAGTTCCAGAGATGAATTTCAGATCTATATAGTCTAGGTTTTAAAAGAGTAAACTCAGTATGGAAGGTGTTAAAGTTTTTAATATTCCCATAAAAGGTGATAAAATAAAAAAGTCAATTGAATTAAGATAGGCAATATACACAAGACACTTGTAAGAAAACCCCAGATGTTCAATACAAAATATTCACCTATCTTGAACAAGAAAAGAAAAAAACTTTTCATAAGTTAAAAGTATGGGCCCACACTTCTGACTATCAGCGCTGAGAGGTTATTATGAGGGTATCTCTAAAGTTTAAATACAATCTGTACTGACTACATTACTTCTGCAACTTTTATAAATGAATGATGGAAGACAGAATTACCTAACACAGGAACCTGAGCATTGAAAATTAAATTTCTACTTTTAAATGGTTTAGATGTGCAACTTCCCCCATTTGCTACAAGGATAACATCTGTAGCTTCTTTGGCTGAAGCTATCATCTCTAAATAGAAGCCCCAAACAAAATGGGAAACACTTCCACTGTTGAGAGATAACCAAAGAGTATAGTTTGATTAGAATGCCAAACACTAAGGAAAAATTCTATGCTCATAGAAAAAAAACATTATCTTTCTAAAGAGATGATTGTGAATCCACAACTGTCATATTTAATTTTAATGTATTTGATAAATACCACAGTATTGACAAATCTTCCTAAATATCATTAGTTTTGAAATAAAGATGTCAAAAAAAATATAAAAATTTATTATTCTTACTGGTACAGCTTAAAGTTTCTACTTTAAATTTAGATTTTTGCTTCAAATGTTACGTATGGATCATTTTTATCAAACCTATTCTCAGGGAACTGGAGCTAGTACCAGGATAGAGAATAGGCAACAAGGCTGAATTCTTTCTTCTCATCCAAATACTTCCAAAATACGTTACAAACGGTAGATAATGGGAAATACCAGAATTCACCCACATCACCCACGTTACCATTGCCTATATAAAGCTGCAGTGTTTTTTTGTCTAACTTGGATAATAGCCACAAGGCTCCATCACACTGATTGATGTGGATTAGACTTCTATTCCCAGCTTCCTGCCCTTCCAGATGCTGGAAACTGGAGAGAAGAGACATCAACACTTCAGCTCCATAAATGGAGGACAAATTCATCAAGTGCTTCACCTCACCTGGCAATGATCTACATCCACCTGAGGAGCAGCAAGAGCTTTATTGACAAAGCACCTTCCTGAGAGATGCCAATTGCCACATGAAGTTTACAGCCTTAACAAGTTGAGATGGAAAGTCCTTTAGCTCTGTGAATGTTTCAGATCCATCTCTTACAGAGAGTTCAACTGGAACTCTTTGAAGTCTCTGAGAAAGACTGAACATAAATGATTCACATGCAGAAAACCTTAAACCATTTCAACCCCTTGGCCAGAAAAACCATGCTGTGCCTGGAAGCATCAGAGCAATGATTACAGAAGAAAAAAGATTTACAGCATTGTTGTCTAATATAGGTTTTCCAGATATGTGCTTGGAGTCTTTTGTTTGGTGGTTAACAACCATGCCAATTGTCTGGTCAAAACCTGGAAAAAGATAAAAACTTCATTTTACAAAGTCAACCAAGATGAAGAGAAACTTAGTAACCTAGTATATACACCTTAAATTTATTTTGTTATAACAGTGTTAAATCTCTGTAAGAAGACATCATCAGACTAAACTAAATTACAGTCAGTTTAATTTGGTATTTTCAAAAAATGGAGTATAAATGTAATATTTTACATTAGATGTTACTTCTTTTGCGAAGTCATACTTCTGTCAAATCTCTCTTTATGTAGTTTCATAGCAAAGAAAGGAATGAAACAAGCTAAATCAGAAGAGGAAGAAGCTGTTTGAAGAGTCACTCTAAAGCAACGGATGCTGTTTTAAACAGAAAGAACTTATTAACAGCATGTTTAAGAAGGTGTATTTGTTTTAAAAGGAAAATTGTGGAAACATTATTATTTAATCTGACAGAAAACAAGCTCTTTACAAAGGCTGAATTTATAAATTCTATTTACTCAGCAATTTTATAGCACTAGCAGCAGGAGTTTTTCTGTAGTACTTAGGTAATTTCTTGCTCTGGCTCTGTATTATCAACACTTTAATATTGTCCTTCATTAGCTATTACTGTACAGACACCATTATCTTATGTTTTGTCCAGCTGCACCATTCCTGATAAAAGCACACCAATCTAGAATACTTGATCTTAACTTGCACTGTAGTGAAGTGTAACTGGTTATGTGCAGATGCACTCATTGAAGGTTGCAACATTCCAAATGCAATCAGTATATTTTATATTATTTTTTTTCTAAATATATGCCTCAATTGTACATAAAGTGTATATTCCAAGCATGAACAAGTAGGCAAAGTAACAGTCCTTCCATTAGCTTTGTTATTTACAGACTATGTATAAACTGATAACATGGGCAAATCTGAATCTTATTCTGCACAGCTATTCAAAGTTTTAATTAATAACTGTGCAGGCAGGGGTGGATTTTTTTTTCAGAAACAGTGGGTATCACAGGCTATTAGATACACCACATAAAGGAATATAATCAAAAGGAAACACATTGGCAAAAAGGATTAGCAGCATACTGTTTTAAAAAATGAGACACAATTCTTTATTCCCCCTGCCATATTTAATGTTTTTCAAGATGCTGCAGAAACTAGAGTATTCCTTCTGAGTCCACAATGAAAAGGGAAAAAAAAAGTGGGCTGAAGGAGAGACACAAATGAGCAGCACAGTTTTGCCTGTATCACATCACATATATACCACAGCACATAAGTGTACAACATAATATACATACTCCAGCAATGCTTTTGCATTTGTAAAAGAAACTGTGGAATTTGCATACTGTTCCTGCTGCAGCTAAAAAGGTAAGTTGCTGAGCATGGAAAAAATATATGAAATGAAAAAGGAATAGATGCTGATAAATGCAGGCATGCATTAGCTAGGTTTACTCCATTCTCTTAATGCATCTGCCTCATTAGAAGCTTGAAACATTTTCTGAGTGCTTGAGTGTTTCTTGCTCAGGACAGAAATATCTAAAAATTTATCAAATAGTTAAACACTCCTTTGTATTTTGATCTTCAATGGAATTACAAAGAATAGAGCATAAAAATACTGTATAGCCAAATCCAGAGCATCACCAACAGTTTGTGGATCTCATTGTAATAGCAGACCAAAAGGACTTGTGTCTCTGAGGCAGTTCATCAGCACATTTACACCTTGATTTCCAGTTAATAAGTATACCAACAATGAAACCTGGAAACTTAAGTTCTCTCTGTAAACAAGCTGGTAAACACAACAGTGTCAGATATGGTTTCTCAACAATTTTGAAACATAGGATAAGTTTACAGCTTAACCTAAAGGTTGTCTGTAGTTTTGTCCATAGACAATGATCCTTCAGGGCAATGAGTAAATACTGAAATAATTTAAAACCAGCCAGTCAACAATTAAAAAAAAATGCATATTGTCTTTTTATTTAAAATCACAGCTAGTTTGTGATAAGCTTAACTTATAGGAACAGTGCTCTGTATTATAAAGCTTCTACAGGAAGCAGTGAAAAAACCTGTATTGTTCACTTTTTCTTACTTAATTCCTACTTTTGAGCCTATTGCTAAGACTTCAAAGTTAGGAATGGAGCTTCTGCAGTGACAACTTAATCCAAATAAATGGATAAAATTAAACTGACATTTTTTCTTATAAAATGTTACTATAATTAGACATATAGAAATGGAGAGAGCAGCAATTGCTTCTTCCAAGGTAACTTGGTGGGTGTCTCTGTCTCTTTCAGTCATCAAAAAGACAATAAGCTACAATAAATAAATCAAAGTGGAAAAGGGCCAACTGCCCTTGCTCCTTTTCATTACTATGTCCATTACTTTTGCTCCCTTTGTCCTTGATGCTGCTATTTCTGTAATCTTTCCATTTAAAAATCATATCCTCAGCCTTTCTTCAAGTTCAAGTCAAATTTTAGGTTACATTGGGAGAAAGGGGAAAAAAAAAGAAAAAAAGAAGGCTCTTACCGCTGTATTGCATCGTAGCTCCCAAATATGAGTCAACAATTGATCCCAGTAGGCCAGCTGCTGCAGCAAACACTATAATGGGCCATTGTGGAGCAGATATTTCCAGATCAGTCACGAAAATGAGTTGAGTTATAAAGTAGGCTATACCTACTGTCATGCCTCCAAGCAAACTTGAGAGCAGGCCCACTAAAGTAACTGCTCCATTAGTACCTAAACCAAATAAAGTGTAGCTGATTTACAAACTGGTTTTAAAAGACTTGTATTAATTAAAATGTTTTACATGAAATCCAAACTGTTCATAGTGATCTTCTCCCCTTACATCTACAGCAGCTTTTTACAATTCCCATTATGTTGTTGAGCAGCTTCACCTGTACCATTACTGCCTGTTACTACTCCATTCCTGTCTCTAGGGCTAGTTCTCTAGAAATACTCACCAGCATTAAATTAAATAAAACTAGACAGCACACACTTCTCAATATCACCTAGTATTTGTCTGCTCTTGGTGGTGGTGGGGTAATAAAATAAGAGATTTACTCAAGAAAAACAGACTTTGAGATGTGCACGTTAAAGCAATGCCCTCCTTCAGAAGTAGTATACTAAGACATGTTTCACCAACACATTTAAAAATAAAATTACCAAATCCACAGAGATGATAGCTCATTGAATACAAATCTGAATATGCATATAAAGAAAAAAATAATTCCCATGCATTTAACTCCTACCCAACAAGATCTATACCTCTGATCAATTTGCCAGCAAGACTCAGAAAAGGCATATTGCTTTAAAGCAGCAATGACATCCACCATGGAGACTATGTTTGACAGACAGGAAGTTCACTTAATTCCCCCTTGGCAGGATATTAAAGGAAATTAGTGATTTGGTTATGAAGTAAATTTTCTGTACTGTCTCTATTGAATATATATGTATTCTACTGATTAAAACAATGCCTGAAAAATACAAGCTGATAACTTGTATTCTTCATACTAGCAGTATAAACTCTTTGACTCTTGTCAGAGATTAGACGTGACAGCATTCAGAATTATTTTAGCTCTGTGGTTACTATGCTCGTGCATCTCATCAACAAGATGCAGAAAAACACAGTTGACTATATTCCATTTCAGAGAATGCATTCCTGGTAACCTTTTCTAATCCCATATTTCTGTTATTTATTTTTCTATGTCATGCTTTGAACTTTTCAAGTTAGATGCATAATTCAAAACAGATTAACAAAATATTAAGAAGATGTAGAAGAGGTGACATCTTACCTACTGGAACCTGTTCCCAGGTTGTTATCAATCTTGGTTTGCTTTTACTTATAACACTACCAATCTCTGAAGCCCATGTATCACCAGCAGAGCATGCCAAAGCTCCCAAAAGGGATAAGCACATCCATGATGCTGTGTATTCCTTTGAAAAGTCAATAGGAATTTCACCTGGTCCATTTTCTATCATATATAAGAGAGCCAGCTCAGTAGGAACACCACCATTACAGAATACCTGAACCCAATTCCTCTGGCCACCTGAAGTATAGAAACTGAATTTTAGTAATTTCAGGAAACAGCATGAGGCAAAAGCAAAATAACACATATATAAAGTTAAATTTAAAAAGACACACATTCAAAACAGAAACTTTATGGCAATTTGTTTAACAAAACAGAAGCAAAAGCAAAGTGGCCTGCTAATATTCACAGGGATAGAGTCGAGGGAAGCCTCAACAGTGTTCCCTATTCTAGATATTTTATCTCATCTGACCCTTTGAAGGGAACAAGAAACATGCAGTATTTATTCTCTACAAGGGATCTAAAAGAATTAAAGTATTTTGGCTTACCTTCTTTGTATTCTGAATCTATTTTCTTCTTTATATCTTTTTTCCACTTAGTAAGTTTTGAAGAAGTAACAAAAAATACAAACAAAGAAGAGAAGAAACTATAATTTGCAACTGTAAGGATAAATCCAACCACCAGTCCTATAAAGAAAAAATAAATATATAAAGTTCCTTCATGTAACTATGGTTGTTTTGTAAAGCAATTAAGTATTTCAAATTTTCTGAATATGAAAAGTATCTTCCTGATAAACCTAACACAATAATGCAGTAAGAGATTCTATTGACAATTGTTAATTTTATTGTAACTGCTGAAGCATGTGGTTTTTAAGACCTTTTGCCATAAAACAGTTATACTGTTTAAAAATAAAAGAGAAGCAATAAAACCCTCAGAATCTAAAGAATATAAAATTGAAATTCAAGTACTCTGCCTGAAGAATATTATTATTTTTATAAGGACTAGATATATACCTGTGGCTGTGCCTCTATCAGCAAGTTTATCATCAGTTTAGGTATCAAATCCCACATCCAAGGTCTCCAAGATAACCTCTAAAACCCTCCTCCATATCTTAGCAGATGCTACTTCTCTATTCTTTTCTTTTTTAGTTTATGACTTTTATTACACCCCTTTATTTCTGTAATTTTTTAAAGTATTTTATCTTCTTCATGCAATTCATTTTTATGTCCCCTTTCAGGGGAGGCCTAATATCACTGCTCACGAGATTACAATTCTAAAGGACTGAAAGAAAAATGGTTGCATTTAAGAGCAAATGCCAGTATAAACTGGCTAGCAGCGCTGTTAAGAGTTTGGAACATAAAAGCCAAAATATTTTTGTCAGTGTAGAAAATGCTTCCCTTAACTCTCATAGACCGAAGATTTCCAAAATGGGTGACATGGGAAGGAAGGATTTGAGGTCCTGATTTACTTCACTGAACATCAATTCAGACAATATCACAAGACAAGGGTGAATCACCTCACCAAGAAACACTGCATCAGATTTCAATAAACACTATTATACACTATGCTGGGCTTTTTATCATGTAGTCTAGAAAAACTTTTCAGGAACAATCATTTGTTCTTAGTGAAGTACGGATCTAATTTTCATTTTTGCCAGGCCAAAAAAATGCCTAGAACTACTTCTATTACAGAAAGGGGAACCATACAGAAAGGAGAACTGATTTCCCACCAAGCAGGAAAGCTGCTGATACGATCAGTTTAAGGCCTTTACCACCACTTCTGCCATTTCTTTGTTTCTCTGTGAATCTTTCTATATGATAAACCAAACCATGTGATTTAACTGCATACTGTACTGAAGTATGAAGAATCTTCCAGGTTTACGTAACTATAATAGTATTAATAAAATCTATTATGAACAGTAGCACAGGGTTAACTTGACTGTTTAAATAAGCATGAGAAAAAAAAAACCCAGTATGAATCTGGGGTATGTATGCTTACATTCATACTTTATTATAACAGAACTAGGTAAAGCCTTAAACAGCAGTTTACTAAACATTTAGCTTAAGTCTCAGAAAAAAACATACCTCCTAATGCACCACTGTGATCAAGACTCTTCTTCTTAAAACCCTGTGTAGCAATAATTAGTGGAACCAAGACTGAAAAAAGCCAGCGCCATGGAGAAATGGGTCGCAAAGTACCTGATAAATCAATTAACAGGGTTACAGAGGATCCTCATAAAGCCTTTATATCTTCATGTCTGAAAAGTTTTTATTTCCTGATATATACTTAAATTTTGATCTTTAATAGAGATTAAAACTTTTCATCCTTCACAAGAAAGATAATCATATGGACAGAAGGACAATATATCTGCAATTATCTACTCAATTTTTCTATTCAGCTATCGAAAGAAAATATATTTCATGAACTGAAATTAATTACCAAAAAATAGCAAAATGTGACAAGAAAAATATGGTAATATTTTCCATTCTAAAAGGGATTTATGAATTTCAAAAGCTAACATCTGAATTTACTGTTGACAAAATTCCACTACCAAAATAAGCCAAGCAAGACAGTCTGCTAGGTGAAAGTAGTGTGACCACTTTATGAAACATCAGCCCTTTCAGTTCTTCTGACCTAAAGCTCTATAAAATATACTTTAAGCTGATGAATATCTCAGTAATATTTGTAGTGACAGTTTTAGTTTGAAAAACCCACATACTTCTAAAAGCTAAAGCCAATAGTTAATGTAGGTTTTGAAAGAAAAAAAAAATTAAAATCTTGAGAAATTATTAATTACATCTGCTATACAAATACATCACAAATCTTGCATTAAAGTAAGTCCTGATCTTATAAAAAAAAATTTTACAGAGACACATAGGCTTGTCCTGCTGGAAAGATAAACATGATGGTTTTCAACAAGAACTTTTGTGCCATCAGTATCCCAACCTCTGCATGAACACTGACTCCCTGGTGCAAAGCAGGACACAGTGAAACACTTACTGCAATGTAATGATTCACAAGAACAAATTCTCTTCTGTGTACTGAAAAGCCCCAAAGCCATAGTAGGTGAGCAAGAGGGGGTCTTGCAGCCCAGGGCTGAGTCAGAAATTCAAAAGACAAGCACCAGCTGTGTATGAAGAGCCCTCCAGTGCTGTAGCCTGGTATTGCCTATCACAAACCAAGGCAGCTCTGGGTGCAAACTTGAGTGTAAGCAGTACTGGAACACAAAGGGGTTCCTTTTGTTTGGCTAAGAAACAGAATTTGCATCTCTTCAAGGTAATTTTTAAACTAAACTTTTTGGATTTTCTTGTAGGAGGGAAAAGTATTTGTATTAACTTACTACTAAGTAAGACCAAGCTAGGATCTATAATAAAACAATGAATGAGTTCTTCGACATTCTGGCTTCATTAACATCCGGCCCACTGTTTGGTGCTTAAGAATTATTATAAACTGTAAATTAATAAAAGTTTGTTTTTGTAGTATTTTATATTTATATTACAGACTGTGAATTTCACCACTTTTATGGGCTGAACCATTTTAAGTCCATTAACTCCTGTATGCTTCATTCACCTCCTTGAAAAGCCAAGGTCTTTCAGTCTCAGGCAAATGAACAGCAGAAGTTTTATGTCCTTCTTCCATAACCATTCCCAACAAAAAGACAGATTTGTCTGCAGTCTTCTATCAGGCCCTATCCTGATTTAGCTGGTACCAGGTCTCTCCACACTATACTGTAAATTCCCACTCAAGTAAGAAAACAGGGACTAGAATATCCTAATTGTCAGAAAAGCTATACCTTTAGAGAGCAGACACACATAAATGAAGTTGCATGTTTAAATCCCACTTGGGTAGCTACAAATAAAAGCTGATTGTGAAGCCTGCTTCTGCATACCTTCTACACATCTGGCATCTCACTACAACCCAAAGCAGAAGTATGCAGACAACACAGATTTAATGCTGTACCAGAACTAACCCACCCTAAATCACTGAAAAACACTGAGCAGAGACATGCAACTGCCTTTACAAAAGTCAGCTTATACTGGTGGGTATTTATTATAGCTTCTTCTGGATGCAGGGTGTTAATACACAGTTGAAGGTGTTCAATTGCAATACTGCAATGACACTGGAGCTCTTCCAGCATCAAACTAGCTGGGGTCTGAATGATAAGTCTTATTCCAGGGGGCTAAAGTTGGAAAAGCAATTAAATTCTTCTAGGCATAAACTGATACTGCAGGCAGTATTAGCTGCTTTTGCACACTGCTGTAAGAATGGTCCTAGAGCCAAAAAGAGAGACTACAGAGAGGACTTGTGTCCCTGCAACTGCACACAATTAAGTCACAGCCAGCCTGAGCTGCCCGAGCAGAACACTGAGCTGACAGTACATACTTCAGCCAGCCACTCCATGCATACATCTCCATCTTCTTATACCATTTTCCATTTCTCTGTTCCTCAACTAAGGAAGTCCTCCTGCACGACCTGTTCTGCATGTTGCAGATGTTGCTGATTCCTAAAACAGTTTTGAAAGCTGGCACATTCCTCCCATGCTGTCACGTACTTCACCTAATATAGAAAGGCCTCTGTCAACTCAGTCTTTCTTTTCACTTCTTAATTTTTATTTGCTTTCTTTAAGAGAAAGAAATCATAAAGGACACCAGCATTTTAAATTGTACATGATCCCTGGGCAGAGCTGCAAGTAAGTGGATGTCAGCATCTTCTAAACGACTATCGCCTACTGGAAGAGGTGGGGTTATCACCTAAACCACTATCGCCTACTTGAAGAGGTGGGGTTATCAGCTCTACTGACTAAGGAAGGGGCTGTGCACACCCCTGTTCCTATTTTTGTCTCCTGCCTAGAGGGGCCGGAGGGGAGGATTCGCCCATGTCCGTGCCATGCCAGCCTCTCCCCGGCCTTTGGACTTACCGTAGTACGTACTTGCAGTCATGGACACGATCCAGAACGCCAGCGAAATACAGATGAGCAAGTTCAGGATGACCATATTCGCCATCATTTTGAGGTATTCTCTGAAGAAATCCTCCTGGTTATAGGACATGGGAAGCAAGAAGGACAACACCTGATGGGAAAACACAAGGCGCAGGGCATCAGCGACACCGCCACCACCTCCTTCTCCTCCTCTTTCTCCTCCCGCCCGGCCGGAGCCGCGGCCGGGCCTGGCCCGCACCGCCCCCGGGGCACTGCCGGGAGGCACCGAGGCGCTCATGGAGAGGCTGCAGCGGCCGCCCCGGCCGGCAGACGCCGGGCTGCGCTGCGCGGCGCCGGGCGGCCGGAGGCGCTCGCACCGCCCGGGCCCGGCACCGACCTGCTCGGCGGGGCCGCGGGCGCCGCCACCATCCCGCCCCGCGGCCTCCCCGCGCATGCTCCGGCCGCAGCCGCGCCGGCCCGCCCGCGCCTGCGCTGCAGCGAGGGGGCGCTGCGGCTGCGGGCGGGCCCCGCCTTGCGCAGCTCCCGCTGCCCTGGGACGGGCACGGGGTCGCGCCCCTCCGACAGACGCCGCGAGTGGAGATGCAGTTTGCGAAATAAAACCAGGAACGACACGCCTGTCAAAGGCATGAAGTCTGTGGAATAATTAGTGAAACCAATGAGTACCTGTATGAGTGTTGAAACTTGTCGGAGCACTTCGAAGTTCATTAACAGCAGAAGAAAGAGACTTGAAATGTTTCCTAAAGTTGACTTGGGATGAAAACATGCCAAACCTGCCTGGTGGCTTTTCCTGGGGCACGTCAGAATGACTCCCAAAACACTCGAGTTGTAAATAAGCTGACATTACCTTATATACCTGTGTATACCTGAACGGTATACACAGCTCCCAGTTCCACACATCAGAGGCTTTGTCAACAAAGCACAGTACGAGGTGAAACTTCACAACTTCTCAAAAACCCATCGTTTTGAGGCAGAAGCCTCAAAATAAATGAGAAATAAGTGAAATAAATCAGATTGCAGGCATCCCAGGAGACAATGTTGAAGAAGCATTTAAGTATTCAGCACTTGTTCAGTGGAACCTAGACCAAAACCTTCAAGTGGCACCTCATGAACATTAGGTGCTTTTTTTTTTTTATGGACTTGTAGCAGCATTAGAAGAACAGAATATTTATTTAAGTATTCAGTAAGAGGCAGAGTAATACAAAAAAGGATAGTAAAAGATCTTTGATACAGAACAGAAGTAGTTTTAAAGCTAGAAAATTCAAGTAGGCGTTCTTAATTTAAGAGATTATAATTTCCTTACTGAATTTGGGAATAATTCTGGCTTGTGGCACCAATTTATTTTTAAGACATGTTCTCTTATTTTTCATTCAGCATCTGGAGTAGGTTTCTATCAAGTTGTGAACACAGTCCATGTGGTTTTTTTCTCTCAGAAAATGAAAATTATTATTTTCTCTCATAAACTTGGATATATTTCCATGTTGTTGTGAAAGAAATACTCAGTTATGACTCAAAGCTGCTTCTTCAGATGTTGTCTAAGCTAAGAACCTTACTCCTTAAAGATTTACAGATACACCTGGTTTTAGCTGAAGAAAGTAGGCTTATTCCAGGGGGCTAAAGTTAATCCTTGGGTGTTTACAATGTATTTTCTCCAGGCAATTGGAGACAAAACTTGGATCAGGTGCCTTTGACAAGGATTTATATTATTTTCTGCTATATTTATTTGTAACAAATACTGGTAACACCCAACATTTATCTCAAGTAGAGATACAAAAATAGTAATACTAATGTAGGAGTACTGATTTTGGTATATCTAGTCTTCCTTCTTACCACCCAATTTTTCATTAAACATCCACCTGAGGTCTGAATTTGAGATCTAAGAATCAGGGACTCAGTAGCTGGGCTGCTTTGTAAGAACGGGACACCTTTCAAGAATAGCATTGACATGACATTGCTTAGGTTCTTCTGCAAAAATCTAACTAGCTGAGATTTTCAACTAGGACAAGGTCAACTCTAATTAAACTCATGGCTAAACAAGCAGCTGCTTGTTCTGGTACAACCAATTCCCATAAACATACTCATTCAAATACATCCTTAACTGTAATAAATTGTTTTATTTAATTTATTGCTTACTTTTTGTTTTCTAAACTGTAACAGACTGATATTGGAATATATAGTGGAGAAACAAAAGTTCCTGCAGGAATCCTAGAGCCCTGGCTGTTATCTGTGGTTCTTTAAAACTGTAGGACTGTGATTAAGGGTAACATGCAAGCTGGTGTGAAGAGGGGGCAGGTTTGTGGAGCTCTAATGGACTCTTCAGCTTTCTTCATAGATCACATACCCATGTGAAGTAGCACTTGGCATTGATTTAGGGACATACTAGACTATGGCACTGGTTTATCTACAGAACTTGTATCTTGGCTTAAAGCCAAAGGTGCTGCTGCTGCTGGAGTTTACCTGAGCAAGAACAGCAAAAGGGACCACAGCTCTCCACTCCTGATGTGAGAAAGGTGGTTCTGGTCAGGAAATGTCTAACAACCAGTACATGAATAATGTTGGCTTTGACTCCTTTTTTAGCTTAGAGTCTTTTGTTAAATGTGGCTTCATACATCCCTCTTCCAGTGTTTCTGATTGCCAACAAATTTTCCTGCAGTAGCTTGGTACACATTAAACATTGCAAGTAGGTTAGAAAACAAGGAAGAAAGGCATGCAAAATTAAGACTTCATTTTGCATTTGGAAGCTGAAAGAAGTAGCTAGAGTTTTGAAAGTAATGTCTCCAACAGCTCTGTAATTGCCCCATATATTGTGTTTAAATTACTCTTTTCTAGATGTTGCCCTTTTTTTCCACTAGGTCCTGTAGTAGTAATAATAATAATAATAATAATAATAATAATAATAACACCACTTTTACTTAGAAAAAGCTGGGTTTTCAGAAAACTTAAATTGCCATCTAGATGCTTACGATATTGTGAATACATAATGTATTTTAAAAGCCATCCTGAATCAGTCAGAAAAGCATTATGTATATTTAATACATAATGCAGGCAATACATTAATTTCATAATCAGTTTTTACTCATAACCCTCCCCCCATTCCTTATTCACACGTAATAGTAATAATAAGCTTGAGAATTAAAAAAAGCAGCAAGAAACAGTTGCTTATGACAAATAGACCTGAAAACCTTTCCTCACACTTTCCCATCCAAATTCACACGTGGAATAAGAAAAACATGAGAAGTTTAAATTGAAAAAAAAATTGGAATTAAAAGCTACCCAATATTTAGAAAAAGAGTTTATTCTTACCTTTTACCTAAATGTATAGGATACAAAGCACTGCCAGTGCAGTCTCTGGGAGGAGAAAAAAAAAAAAGTATGATTTAATAAGAGGCGACAATGTGAGATGATTAAAAGCAGAGCAACAGAAAGAAGATAATAATATGTTACTGTACACAGCATGCTAATAACTCTTTTACAATCATTCTTTTCATAGGAGTTTAGTAGATTTGCCATAATACAGCATAATATTTCTAAACTTTTATGACGGTTTTAGAAGATTTTCTGACTTATTTGTTTGTATCTCTGAGATACAACTTTCCATTTGTCTTCACTGCTTAAAACATTCATATTTATGCTTGATAGAATGTATTATAAATAATATAGCTTGAAAGTTAAATACTAATTTAAACATCTTTTATTTTCCTTTGTTAATCTTGTTTTCTCAATATCAAAAACTATTGAAGACAAAATACTGTTCAATACATGAAATTAAAAATCTGTAAAAATTGTTAACATTGTATTAAGTACAGCTGTTCACAAGGGCCTTGAATAATAGTCACACTCTTAGAAAAGACAACCTGGTAAGACTGTAATATTTTATGCTGATAGTGTATTTAGGTAGCTACAGAAAACAGAAGTGGAAAAATTATTCTGCAGGAAGGGAAAAGCAATACTGCAGATAAATGTTCATCTTAAGTAGAGCATTCATAATTAGTAGTCACCTGTAAAAATACTGACCAAATCGCAAGCAGTAATTTTCATACCAAAGGAGTTGCTATACAGATGAATTCCTAATATTTTTGAGGCAGTTAAAAATGTCAGTGCTTAACACTATAGCAAAACTATTCATATCAGGATTTGGATTGTGGACTATATATCAGCAAATGAATAAATATCCAAATCACTTACCAAAAAAAACCCAGAACCTAGAATGAAGATTTAAGTATTAAATTTATTAAATATGTGTGGGTAGGCTTTTGCTTTGTGTTAAATGAATTTATCCAAGGACAATGACACCAATTAAATTTATTCGGAGTAGCCTAATTGTCCTTTTTCTGGTCATTTACTACAAATGACCCAGCTTTTTACTATGTATTTATGCAGTGTTTTTCTACTTTATCAAGTAATTCAGTAAAGAACCAACATACTGAAAGTAGCATGTGTTCAAGATTGTGATATCTCTAGTATATTTGCATTTTACAGAGGAGGAAGTTAAAGAATTAAACCATAGTGCAAAAATATATTAATAATAATAAAAAAAGAGTTCAGCAGTGGGTAATTCAGTAATGGGGAAGGATAACAGTAAGCAAGGCAGGTAAAGATCTAAAAGGACTATGCACAAGGAATAACCATCTTCAGTCATAGACTTGCCAAGATGGTAAAGAGGCTTTAAACTAAAGTTGCCAGGGGAGGAGAACCTCCTTTCATCCCACTCCCACTGGTTTGATGCCAGTGCTCCCATAAGAGATGCCCAGAACCTGGAGGAGGATCATAGTGATGCCTAAAGATTTTTAGCTTCTTTATATATTTGTAGCTCTGTAGATTTTAATATATAATATTAATAATATTAATATTTATTAATATTATTATGAATAAATATTAATAAAATTATAGCTGTATAGTTTCTAGCACTTTCTTACACTTTAGGACAGTAGTTACCCTTTCTTACACATTATGTCACCTTCTTGAAATGCTGTTTGGTCTTATTTTCAAGGAAAAGGATTTCCAACAAGGACAGCTTGTTTTGCACCAGCACCTGGGTGATATAACAAGATACAGAGCTAAGAACCCCTTGGAGGGACTCCAGGGTGCAGGTCTAAGGGTGGGTTACCAGGACATCCAGTCTCCCATTGGATATACTAGCTAGATATACTAATTAGTTAAACTTATAAAAATTGTGAACATTTAATGCTGCATGTGCACATAGGGATAAGCTTTCATTAAAAGACTGCTTTTTATGCTATCCATTCTAATATTGTTTGGAAAGTTTTTCTTCTAATTTTA